AGAACAATTAAATTTATTAGAATTTACCGCGACGTTCTATTTAAATGTACACTGGTAGACTGTATTTCAGCCGGCTAAGAATTTAACATTGATTTCCCTATTATGCGCGAATAATTTTCCAACACGGTATACCATTTTCTAGGAGCGTTGCCAAACTAGTTTACTTTCACAAGGTGCGTCTTACTCATCCACACGACATACACATATAATAAGAGTTTAACAGAACCGTTTTGAATTGTTTTCGTAATGAAAGATGCTCAATTATTTGAAGATATAATTCGATTATTTTGAGCAGCGTTCGTGAGACAATTCCTATGAAATACTTTCTATTTTATGTGGCCAGAATTTAATGCTTTAATAGTTAACTTTTAAGGCATTTTCTTGTAGCTTAATTTAATAGCTGGTCAAGGAGGAAACAGCATATATATTTCTTGTAGTAGATAAAAGTCACTGTAATTTCTGAAGTTACATTTTTTTCTTAATTTATTCGAAGAATTTTCCCAAAGTCCATAAAAGGAAACTATAGGGAACATTACTAAATTAAAACCAGACTCACTTCACCGTTTTTTATAAATATTTTGAATCTTTTAGTAAAAATGTCACATTTATCTACCTGTAGGTAAATAGTAGATTGTAGTCGTAATTTTACTGGGAAAAACGGTCCTGCCTTGAACAATTCGTTTTGTTGGTCAAACATCACATTTCAATGGCCAATAAATCACAGCGCCTGGCAAAGATAAAGGACTAAAAAATAAGGAAAATATATTTATTATCGGTCGCCTATGCACCGACAGCGGCGCTTTATCGCGTCGAAAACGATATTTGCTCGGATCTCGACTCTATTTTAACAAGAACTGCATATTTAGGAAAAGTGGAACGGACGTTTTTTTTTCTTCTTTCGGTTCATGTGGAAAGTGTAAATCGATTTTGCCATAAATTTTTCTTTACTTTCCGTGACCCCAAAAGAACAAAAATCGTTTTACTTAGAATAGAAATTATCCGCTTAATAGTCTGTTATTGCGCTGGTATTGTCGTCCCGATTCATCGCAGATGCATTTTTCGATTTTCCCGTTAAACGGCGCGACGAAAGAATTTCCAAAAAACATAAATTCCGTTTTAATTGTATCCGACCGGCTTCTTTGTCGGATCAGTTTGAAATTCAAATGACCATTGCGCTGTAGGTAGTATACAGTATTTTCCAATTTTTTTTTCTCTATAGCGTGCGGTTTTGTATGTCATTTTCGAATTTTTAAAGTACTTGCTCCAATTACATTCTAAGATTACAATTTCTTATCGGTCCGTGTTAATCGTAGCAGGCCAACTAATCGTTAAGAATTCTTTTGTTAATTGCTGTACGCTTAAATTCACTTCTCTGATGTTCGTTTGGATAATAATGTTATGCCAAGTTACTCGTTTATTTGTAAAATAAGCTTTCGTTGTTTGAATTACGTTTACTTTGGCATTATCTACAGTCTTTTACGGAAAAAGATACACTAACTTTTTTACACTACAATTGCTACAATGAATATCTAATTTGTAAAATGATTCAAGATCTTAGTGAGAAGATTTTAACTACGAATAATATTTAAATATCTACTGGAAGAAGATTGAAAGCAAAAAAAATACTTTCACTGGACCATTAAGTAGCTACAATGTATTTTAAATTAAATTAGATACGTTCTTCCTCTATATCTATAATAGCATAATTATTCGAAATTAATGTTTGACGTTTAACTCTCGCGATTTTTTCTGTTTGCGTTGTTAATGGTAGAGGAAATGTTGGGATGTGGGAAAATAAATGGAGAAAAAGGATTAAAGAATGCGGCAAATTGAGTCGCCACTGTTAAGTATGAACTTGTACTTACATACCACGTGTAGCTCGGTGTTAAAATAAATAATTAGCTTACAACTGTTCTAGCATCTCCGCTACCTGGTGTCAATTATTTCGAAATGAAATATCTTCCTATTCCTCATACTTTTATTGTAATAGTTTATATTGTAGATGGAAAAACATTACTCCAATGTAGTTTTTATATCGAATTTAAAGTAATCAATAATTGTTGTATATTTCTATTGAATAAATGTGAACATCAAACATCTACATCGCAATTCTTGTGTAGCTAATTAGAGCAGAGGCAGTTCTTCTGGTAGAATCCGCCGATAGCGCGTTATTAGCTGTAGAAGTGCGCTTTACATGGGTACATTTCGTAATTATCTAGGTTAAACACTAATTCTTGTCATCGAGAATTAATTATCATACTAATTCCGTCTTTCTCCGCTCGCCGTGAATTATTTCAGCTTCTCGAACCATAACTATTCGCGGGCGGTACCGTATTTGTAGTTTCTAGTACGCAGGGTGGATTTACGATCTTTTGTTTTGGCACTTTTACTTTAGCTAAAGCGAGATCGCGCGTTCCGATTTAAGCAATTAGATGTAGATTTTTATTTTATTTATTTATCGTTCTCGCTGCCTTTATTATAATGCGCAGCGAACACAAAAATTTGTTTATCTTTCACTCGACGGAACATTGGATGTAGAATTTGTTATTAAGATATACCTATACAGAAATTATACATTCATTGTTGGTAGCGGTTTGTAGATAAAAACAGTCAATTTATAACACAAACGAAACTAGGCATTAGAGACAATTGAACGGGTAACGATGTTACATTGGTTAACCGACTCAAATGCAAAATAAGAAAGTAATAAGTTCAGTATTTTATAGTGGAAAGTTAATTATTTCACTGGGAGCAATGTAATTGTAATTCTCCAAGGATTCTGTTAAATAAATATCCTTTAACTTCTCTATTAAAATCAAACACGTAGAATTGAATAATACCTATAGTTCTACACCTTTGTAAAACTACAAGTAACGTTAATAAATCAGTGTTTATTTAATTACATCATTAAATTACCTAAAAGTGTCTTGTAAATAATACGTTGGGTAAAATTTTAAACCAATTTTCTGGTAACGACATCGTTATTTAACGAATTAATCAGCATCGTTCGCGTACTTATTCGAAAAAGTAAGAGTTAGATGTCGGTTTTTTTACACTTTTTTTGATGGATATGACATTATGAGAATAGATAAAAGAGGTCAGTAGGCAAATTACCATTTTGAAACAAACAGATCTCTCTTGTAACTTTTTAAATTTGATCATTATCAATTTATTTATTTACTGCCTACCTGCGTTGTGCCCACAACTACTTAAGACTCTTTTGAGCAAATATAACTGCAATAAGATAAGGCAAACGTTCTCAAAACTATGTTGCTATTAAAACACTGGAATGATTTCATTTTATACAAATTTTACATCAACATCACCATCATTATCCACAATTCACAATTTTTATTGGTGCATTAGTCTTTTTTTTTGTATTACCAAATTTTATTCCAATAGGTGAAATATTGCATTTTAACAAATATGCCAATAATTTTTGATCAATTTAATCTATAATGAAAACTGAACCTACACGAGAGCTGGAATGAATGCAATTTGAAATGGTAGACATGACATAATTTCAATTAAAAACATGTTTCGCGCAAGTTGTATATTGCGATTTGGTCACGTAGATATTTATTTAATGTTTCTATGCTCTCATAATTTACATTCGGCTGATTTCAATGGTGTAGTAACCTAGAAAACGTTCCGAAACGTAAAATTAGATAATTACTAAATTTTAATGAAAATTTAGCAATTAATCATGTTTTAATTACTGTTAGATTATACGGGATATCTCGCCGGACATTGTAGATACTAAATATTACTCAAAAGTTCATTGTTTTTATTAAATAATAAATTCTGTGTAAATACTTTGAGGAGTACCTAAGAATATCAAACATTTACCAACTAAAGCTTCGTTTTCGGTATTTTCCAAGCTACTATAAACCCATTGAGTTGGATCACCCCGAGTGTTCGAAAACGTGTTATAGAATTGACGGTGTATTTAATTTAACACACGACAAGTAGGTCAGTTATGCGAAATTTCAGAAAAAAGCATAAATTAGCAAGGGCGTCGCCCGAAAAATCGTGCCGAAAAGTAGTTCGAGCCAGCTCTGTAGCCGAACACAAGCGCATCTAGTCCGTTCTTACTTTCTTTTCGATCGCGAAGCCGGTCCCCGCCCGTTTTATTAATGTTTAATATGTCTTTAAGCGGTCCGCATTGAAAATTCGGATGTATAGGTACGGAAAGGAACAGTTCCGACCCCGGTCAGGCGGTTTCGATCCATCAATTCGTTCTCGAAAACCGACAAGTGCCAATTGTTCGAGGCGAAAAAAAATTAGTCGCTTTACAATGGCAAAACCAACAGATGAATATGTTGTGTAGCCCCCCGGCTGTGGGCCGAACACTCGCTTGTATACACACAGTCTAGGTGATTTGGTACTCTTTCCAATAACTTAAATTATCCTTTAGATGCTAGTAAATCGTCAGTAAAAGTCTACAATTATGAGCTCAAGGCGCTTGGAATGCTTAGGGCATTCATCGAAGTTTGCATGTGATAATATTTCTATTCCAGCAGTTTGCTGAAGAGTAGTTTTAATCCAGCTATTGGAGATATACTTCTGGGAACGATTTTCTAAATGAAAGAAACTTTCGAAATAACTTCGATATCTACCAAAGCTTAGTAGAAATAATAGGAGAATTAATTTTAGAATACTGCACTTATTTCCTTTTCCTATATACTATTTTGCTAATGCTAAAAGCTAATACAGTACTTATAAAATTAACTGAATTACCCTGTATTGGTAAAAAATGTGTTTCCAATTCAAAGGCTCTTAAGCTACTGTTAGTTGAAATGTTTGTTTGTTTTACCATTACTTATAATTGTATAATAAAATACTGAAAGCTTTGTTCTAAGCGATTTCTCGAAGACAATTACACATCGATCCTTGTGCAAATATTATTTGCAAATGTTTTCGATTGTTCCTAATTGTTAGTAATTATTTTATACTTGTTACCGGTTTCGTGATAATTTATTGTCCGTTTTTTGTCGCAGGAATAAACAGGAATACGCTTCGACTGGTCGTTGTAGTTGTGGTCTTAGGATGGCAATCGATACCAACTTTGGACGCTGCAAAAAATTCTACAAGGAGGAAAGATCAAGGTAGATTTTATTTGTATCTTTCTTCAGTAACCTGCTACATTTTTTCTAGAATACCATCGTAATAATTAATACTATCAATTTTCTTCAGCTTTCCAGATAAACCCCAAGCCTTGTTGGGTCGACGGTCAAGAAGGCACCTGCATGTTTGTTTATGAATGTATTAAGACTGAAGGTTACCACATAGGTAAGAAGAGATTAATCAACTTCATTATGCTTAATTAGGTACCTAATTAAAACGAATTCTAAAATTTCTTTTAGGTATGTGTGTCGATACGTTTATGTTTGGCTCATGTTGCGCTCATAACGCAACACAGAATACCTTATTACCACAGTCGCCATCCAGTGGACATCAGTCAACTCGGCCACAAGTACTTTACACTCATCCTAGTCATAGCAATAGTAATAACTATCATAAGCCAACCAAACCATTGAGTCATTATATTAGTACTAGTAGACCTAAACCAAACAGGTGAGATAAGTACCACGGTACGAATTGAATAAAATTAACAATAATACTATTTCTTCAAGCCACCTAGCGGCCAGTAATTCCACTAGATCATCATTAGCTACACCCTATCCCACTTTAACAACATCAACGAAAGAAAGACCGGAATACTCGAGGATATCAACACCACCACCTAGGTAACAAAATTTACCAAACACTAAACTCGCTACCTCGTTTCAGTATCGATTTACATCGATTATACATCGACTTAATCCAATTACAGAGCCCATTTATTTTCTTAGATTTTATTCACAGGCACAGCATTCGACCGATGAGCACCGACGACGATTTTTCGCTGCAATCGAACGCGATTTACACCAAGCCCGGCTGGCAAATGACCACGGAGCCGGCCTTCATCACATCGAACCACGGCCAAAACCAGCAAGTGGAAGCCAATCTCCACTTGCATTGGCAACTGACGACGGAATCGGGCGTGGTAACTAGGATAAAGAAGCCCACGAAGATGAAGAGCAAACCGACCAAGAAGCCCTTGCAGAGCCTGCCCGACAAGTATTTTACCAAATATACAGTGAAAGTTTCGAAACCGACCACTACGAAGAGGTAACTTTTAATCAATCGTTTCGAAATTTATTGTACTAATAGATTGTGATTTATTTGAAGACCGCAAGTTTCAACGAAACCTCAAACGTTATCTGCTGAAAGAGTCACACCTATACCCACTACTATTCATGTACCGACTGTATCGAATACTGTTACTTCAATTTCTTCTGCTGCTAATGAGGAAATCGGTGAGTTGGTTAATTACAAGTACAAGTACTATTTTTAATTTGTATGTAGGTACTTTTTTAATCTGAATTGATTTTATTTGTTGGTGAATTAAAGCGTGCGGTATTCCTCAAATGTACACGAAACCGCAAACAAGAATAGTTGGTGGAAAAAACGCTCCCTTCGGACGTTGGCCTTGGCAGGTACAAACAATCAACCAAGAAATTAATGCTAATGGTTAATTTAAAACCAAATTTTCAGGTGTCCATCAGAAGAACATCGTTCTTTGGATTCTCCAGCACCCATCGGTGCGGTGGAGCGGTCTTAAACGAGAATTGGATAGCCACCGCTGGACACTGCGTTGACGAGTACGACTCATTGAACCTTTAGTCTCCAAATTCCTAAAAAAAAATCATTTTTTCCAGCTTGCTTACCTCCCAGATCAGAATTAGAGTCGGGGAATACGACTTTTCCAGCGTCCAAGAGCTGCTGCCGTACGTCGAAAGAGGCGTTTCGCAAAAAGTCGTCCATCCCAAATACAATTACTTCACCTACGAATACGATTTGGCTTTGGTGCAAGTGGACAAAGCGCTGGAATTCATGCCGCACATTTCGCCGATTTGCCTTCCAGCATCCAACGATTTGCTGATCGGGGAAAACGCCACGGTCACCGGATGGGGCAGACTTAGCGAGGGAGGAACATTACCTTCAGTACTACAAGAGGTACCTATTTAGTTTCATGATCATTGCTGTATCTATTATTATTATTAATTTTCAGGTGCAAGTGCCTATAGTGAGCAATGATAGATGTAAGAGCATGTTTCTGAGAGCAGGCAGGCACGAGTTCATTCCGGATATATTCCTTTGTGCTGGGTACGATGGAGGGGGGCAGGATTCCTGCCAAGGGGACTCGGGGGGACCGTTGCAGGTGAGTACCGCTTGAGTGGTTGGTTTGAGAAATATTTTGCTTGTGTATTTTTTTTAGGTGAAAGGAAAAGACGGCCGGTACTTTTTGGCTGGGATTATCTCTTGGGGTATCGGTTGCGCGGAAGCGAATCTGCCGGGCGTATGCACCAGAATATCGAAATTTGTTCCTTGGATACTTAAGGTCGTAACTTGATATAATTTTAATGCTATTGAGAATTTTTTTATGAATAATATATCGAAATTCGGCTAGAAAGTTACGACTTTTTTTAATAATTAGGTTAAAAAATTTGATTGAAAAGAAATATTGATTTATTCGTACAATAACTTGATAATATAATTGAGTTTTTGTATATAAAACTTTCTTGCTTTTTATATTAGTTTAGTTAACTGACCTGTAGAAGGTAGATCTTATAATAATTTCTAGATTAATTTGTATATTAATTAAATATTTTTGTATAAATTTACATTGTAAAATTTGTAGATAAAACTACTTATATGTGATACTTAATTTATTTTGTTTATAGGATTATTGCATGTAGGTACTTGAATATTATTATTATTTATGTAATATCAACTTATTTTTTATGCAATTATTGCCACAGCAGCAATTAGGTATCGATGTGAAGATTTATTTCAGTTAATTGCATTATAAAGTTAATAAATGCTTCGAAAAGTTTATTTAATAAATTTTTATAATTTTGTTGGAAAATTATACTAAATCTGATTACTAACTAAATAGGTAATTTTCTAACAGGTACAACAGGTAACATTTTTACCTGCAAAAATTAGAATTTGTAGTAAAACAATAAATACTGCTACAATTTCAATCATTTTGATTATTTATAATGTTAACTATACTATAAATGGTATGAATTGCTAATAATAGGTAATTATATGAATGTTCCTTGATGGTTTTTATGTATAATTATATATTAAAATATTCTGTTATTTGTTAACGTTTGTAATAAAATTGTTCACATCTTTTGCATAGTTTATTTGTAAATTAATTACATAGATACATACATTTCTACTTTTTGTAGGGATTTAACCTTATGTTGAACAATGTTACCAAATGAATTCATAAACTTAAAAAAGCCTAAAATTTCTCATTAAAAATAAATTGAAATTAATTAAATAATGAAATATATTAAACGAAAAGGAAACAATACAATGCATTTTTTCAGTCTTGGATTATAAAATAGATGCTAAATCAAACAATTAATTAATAATATCTTATTTTACGTATAATACATTCGCTTAACATACATAGATAATATATCTATATACACTTACCAATTAATACTTATCTATTATTACCTTATTGGTAAATTGTTAAATATCGGCATGAGTTGTAGTAAATTTAATACAAATTTGATTATCAATTAAAATTTAACCTTTATCAAGACTTAATGTAATTTAATATAGTAATTTTCTTTGTTTGTTATGTTAATATTTTGTCAAGAAGTACAAATGATTCAGATCATTAGAAAAATTATTATTGTCGAATTAAAGGTGTAACAACTAACGAGTGCTATTAACAAAGTATAAATAATTCGTTATATTTATAATTATTATAGTTATGTATATTTTTTTCGTATCATTTCTCTTAATTCATATAAAATAATAATTTCTATCATAAGAACCACTAACATTATTAATATTCAAATTCCATTTTCATACATTTTTACATAAATAAATGGACAATTCACATTCGAATCAGGTATCATTTAGTGTACGTATGTCATAATAAGCTTCGTTTTGTGGCATATACATAGTTAATATGTATTATAATAATCCTTCAAGAAATACCTCATTTAATAACTTCTTATGAAGTTTTCTTCCCTTTCGCTTTCTTCCTAAATCTGTTGAATACTTCTTGAAAATCTGTTATGGGAACACGGTAATCCTCGCACTGCTTACTAGCTACATCAGGCCGTGGAATTATTGTAAGCTGTTCCAAATCCCCCTGAAATTTTTAACATATTACCAAATATTACAGCAACAAATTTCCAACTTACCGTAAATAAATAACCTATAATTACATCAGAGTCTTTCGGTATATCCAATTCGTGGCTTCGCAATATCTCAGTCAATAACCATTTACAATCCACATAGATATCCACCACGCGGCTATCTCTAAAACTAAAAAAAAATATATTTTTAATTACATTTTGCTTAATAGAAAACTAATATCTTAGTTGCATTAGCCCCGCAAGTGAACGAGCGACGAGTTGCATTTCCCAACGACTCATCATTAAAACTTCCATTAGGGATTTTGCATTGTGGAGATCGCACGCCAGCGGGAAAAACGCGCGAACTCGTTCCGAAAGCAATTTTGGAGCAGCACACAAAGAATATAAACGCGAAAGGTTAGACAAAGAGTGCGGGCGAAGCGCAAAAAAGGCGAAAACAAACTTAACATTGTGTGAGAGCAAAACTGATACCGCGAAGTTGGAATTTGGTGCAATGAACTCCCTCTTTAAAATAAAGTAATTCCTTTTTTTATACCAGTACTTAGCGAGATTTCACATCGCAAAGCGTATTTGCCTTAATCGCATATTAACAAACTTTAATTATTCTTATAAAGTTTTCTGGAGTTATGTTCGCGGAATATTCCAAAAGAGGGTTAAATTAATTTGAAATTCAAAGTGTATTTTCTAACGGACTTGATCAATACGAAAACGACCAGAAGGAACAGAGCAAAACTCACTAAGACAAACAAAAAAAAAGGAATCCAATCATCCTACCCTTAAGCCCCCATTACACGCAGCGATTTAACTTCTATCGCTCGCAGGAGTTACAACCGATGGAACAAAATCCGCGTGAACCTAGCACCCCCACCATAAAAAAAAATAAAAAATCATACATCATAATTTAGTGCTATTTTAGTGCTAATTTAGTGCCCACTTCCTAATTTTAGTGCTCGTCTGGTTGAACAGAAAATTGCGATTGAAAATGGCGGTGCTAAGTTTATAAAGCTAGCACCCCCACATTTAAATATTTAAACAAAATTAAAAAATAATATATCGGAATTTAGTGCTATTTTAGTGCTTTCGATTGCACTACTCAGAATTTTATTTAAGGCAATTAATCTTTAAGATATTTGAAAAAAACGTATTGAAGTCAATAGAAAAACAGATAAACATAGAAAAAATACATTTAAACATAGTAATAGGGAAACGATTTTGATCTCTAATGTTTCAATGATTTTAGTGCTTTTAAAGTAGTTAATGCCAAATTTTAGTGCTTAACCCTTAAATCCAAAAAATCATATTTTTACCATTTTGTAGTCTGACCTCCAAGAGTAAAAATGTGATTTTTTGGGTTTAAGGGTTGAGCACTAAAATCTGACTTTAGCTATCTTAAAAGCACTAAAATGAACAAAGAATATGAAACAAAAATCATTTTTCTATCTATATTTTTAATGATACTTTACTCTTGGATGTCAGACTGCAAAATAGTAAAAATGTGATTTTTTGGGTTTAAGGGTTGAGCACTAAAATCTGACTTTAGCTATCTTAAAAGCACTAAAATGAACAAAGAATATGAAACAAAAATCATTTTTCTATCTATATTTTTAATGACACTTTAGTCTTGGAGGTCAGACTATACAAAATAGTAAAAATGAGATTTTTTGGGTTTAAGGGTTGAGGGTTAAGGGCAGTGCATTCGAAAGCACTAAAATAGCACTAAATTCCGATATATTATTTTTTAATTTTGTTTAAATATTTAAATGTGGGGGTGCTAGCTTTATAAACTTAGCACCGCCATTTTTAATCGCAATTTTCTACTCAACCAGACGAGCACTAAAATTAGGAAGTGAGCACTAAATTAGCACTAAATTATGATGTATGATTTTTTATTTTTTTTGATGGTGGGGGTGCTAGGTTCACGCGGGTTGGAACAAAGTTTCCGATTTAAACTCGACCGATCAACGAGATGCTAGGTACAATTTTTTGCGATGAAATCGGCCCTTTTTTTTAAACATTCGGCGGGATTTCGAGCAAACCTGATAGCGAGCTGGTGCCAACGACCGTCGTCCAAACGCGCAGGAATTCTGACCACGTCGGTCCCGTCTGTCGGGGACGCGTGGATCACTTTCAGCGTCGACGGCGTCTCCGGCGACGCCGACGTCGACGTCGCTTCCAGCGACAAATAGGCGTCCTGACGACTGCGGGATCTCACGCCGAAGATTGTGCCCATTGTTGTCTAAAAAACAGCAAATTATTTCCTGACGATAATAAATCTCCTGCTAACAGATTTCCTGTTGTGTAATACGTGGAATACTGTACAAAATGTTAAGTAAATTTCTACTCTTGATACATCTAAAATATTATTTTTCTGGTGATCGTTAATCGTCGAAAAACCCCCAGCGCTGGTAAAAACAGAAGTAATTACGTTCCGCGTTGGGAATCTAATTTCAAAAGCCATTTATTCGGGGTTAAATCGCTCCGGTCCGAGGCGCCGACACTTACATTAGGCAACCTGACGGTCAAAAACACGGAGAATTCGCCGGGAAAAAGCGTGTTTTCTTGGGCGAAGTGGAAAAGCTCCTTGGATGGGAGCCAAACGTAGGAACTGGGTCGCAAGCGCCACGCAGACGGCCGGTCTGGCACCCTATCCCATTTCTCCGCTCCCGGATGGAAGGATTTATGGCCTACGATAGCCAAGGGGTTGATGATGTCCTCGCAACTGAAACGGCAAAAAACGTTGGATCGCATCGGCGAAAAGAGAACGAAACAAAATAGAGGGTGCATTGAATTATCCAGTTTTCGTTCTATTGATTTATTTTTTATACACTCTGGAGATATACGAACCAAAAAAAGCGACGTAATTCTTCATAGTTAAATTGAAACATCTTGTAAATTACATTGAATGCAAGAAGTAATTTAAGCAAAACGATTTGCTGCAGTTTCAACGTTTTGTTCGAGCTTTAATAGACATTTCAATTCCATTAAATTAGGCCGAGTTTGTTGGAAGTACTATAGATCCCTTAAGGCATCAAATTGTTTCGAAATTTCTAAATGATTTAATTGACTTAAGGCAACAGGGATAGCCGTAGATTCGCGAGTAAATACAATGAAATTTAACTTTAGTCGAGATAAATCAGAACCTTCGTCACTTCTATGCCTTTGTTGATCCCTATTCAAGAATCCTTCAACCGCTTATGAATTAAAAATGAACGGTGCAGATGCAAACAGGAATGTAGAACACTTCAGTGAAAACTATACTCCAGCGGATGGTAAATGTTCATTTGAAATAGGTACATTTCAAACACTTTTGAAGAATTTTTACTAATAAAACTATTGCTTTTAATAAATCGACAGGCTGTCTTGATCATAAAACAACTTTATTCGCCGAAACGATGATGATAATTGAAAGTATGTTGTTTACGAAACGAAAGCGATGAGCCTAAATTGTTAGTCTTAAAGTTAATTAAACCAAGATCGAATCAATTTGGGTTCCCGCTGAGATTTAATCGCTCTTTCTGGTTCCGAAATTTTATTTACGAGCAACATTATCAGCAAAGCGAACGGGATAATTAGTTATTAGATTTTTAGATTGAACTCCGCTGGCCGACTATAATGGCCAATTCGGCGTCTTAATTACATTTCGGATCGGTGCGGAATTACAATATCTTTCGCTGCCGGCGGGCGACGGAGAAACAACTACATTTTATTTACCTAAACATATTACAATGCCGTTGTTCGACGTTGAAACCATTGCATTTCATTCCGTTGCAATGTCGAATTCGCTGTTGAATCCCACCAGAGCATGAAACGCTACAGGACGACCAATCTCCCCAATCGCTCCAGCCTGAAAAGGGCCGAATTTAACGCCGGGCGATTTTCGAATGCGCAATTATTTTAATAAATTAACTCCACCGACAATCGCTGTAATGCCGTATAATCTGCAAAAGGCTTACCCAGAGTTTTCCAAACCCTGTAGTCGTTACTTTCGCTCCATTTGACAGCGGCGACTCCTCTCACGTCGCCCTCTATTAAATTACAAAAAATTATGTACTCCTCGGGAACCGTCTGAAGATCCACTTTGTAGCCCGAAAGCGCCACGGAGACTGGGAAACTCACATTTATTCTCCTGTAAATTGAACAAATTGAGTTTAGATCGAATTACGAGGGTCTCTTTTTCGTGGAAAATCCGTCTTAAAATTGCGGAGAAACTTTATTAATAAAGAAAAGTGGAATGCGAGGGGGAATTTTTACAACGCCAGACACCTATTGGATTAAAATGTAATTTAGCTTTATTTGTTTTTAATTATAGTTCAAATTGGTTCGACTCGCTACGATCACATTTTACGTGTATTTTAGTGAAGTAGAAATCGTTTCCTCAAAATCCCGCGCTAACGTAAAGCTCTCATCCAATTTGAATTTTAGATTAACACCTAAAAGCTTTTTTTTAATATCTCTTTTATCAACTCTAAGTACGCTGTTATGATAATATAGAAATTTTCTTCAATAACTTCCAATTTATGAGACAATATAAATAAGTTATAAAGTCGTTTTCATCCATACAGAATGTCCCAAAAAAGTAGTAGGTGTGCGTTTTAATGATACTGATGGTTCTGACTAAGATTAACACGTTAACTGCAATGCTAACTTCAATGAGACCAGCTTGAAGTTGCCTCTTATTACACAAGCGAGTCTAAACTGCTCCACAAAAGTTAAGGAAGTTCGCAAATTTTGCGATTATTTTAAAAGTTACAGACTTTTTGGTCATCAAATTTTCAAATATGCGAAATTAAATGTTTTCACTCATATCTGAGTGGATTTTTGCCCCTTCCTCTATATCTCATACTAAATTTGGCGATCAAAAAACCTGCAACTCTTAAATTAATCTCAATATTTGTGAACTTCCTTAGCTTTTGTGGAGCAGTATATTACATTGAATTAAAGGAAACCTATTCAGCTACTCACCCGAAATTATTCGTGACCAAATCGTTAATGGAAGCTTCGCCCTTGTAAGTGTTCTTAACGAAAAAATAGGCCGCGACCGAATTAGCATTCGCGGGCCGAGCGGGGGCCTCTTCAGGCACGAAAGTGCTGCCTCGGAAGACTATTTGAGAGGCGAGCGCGCTGTCCTCGATGCTCACTTGCCGCTCGTTGTCTTTTGTGCTCCACGAAGAACAATGGGTCTTAGTGGAAGATAGAAAAGTTAGAGTAACCAGGATGGATATCGAGTGGATGGCGCCGGGAAGTAGGTTAGCGGGCATTTTTATATAACTCGGTTCGGATAAAAGGTTTTTCTCTCGACTATTAGCGGAGTGGAAAACGCATTGTACTACTGTTGGGTAGTTTGAAAGCCGCGCGAGAGGTTTGGAACGAGTTCATCGCGTTTCCGGAAAAGTTTCTTTTCGATTGGATTTGTCTGCAACAGAGTTCGGTTTTAATTAAATCGGCGCTTTTAATATAATTATTAACAGTTAGAGGATTACACACAATAAATGTACCCTTATCTAACTACTCAAATTAATTATTTACATCCAATAATAAAATATATCATAACAAATTCATTCAAAATGTTGTAGAAAACAGAGCAGTTCTTTACATAACGACGCAACAAATCGCATAAAATCGATAAGCGAGGTTCGTGTCATTTATTTTGTTTATCCTCTCTTTTGAAACGATTTATAGTTGAATTCGCAGAGGCAGAACAATATCTAGTTAACGAAATAAAATCGAGACAAAAACAATTGTGTTCTAATTGAAAAAAAAGCAATTAATTACAAGATCTTCTGAGTGACTTTATTGAAAGAATTTGAATGGAGAATCGAGAAAGCATCATCATCATCAATCTTCTCTGTCATCCTAGATCGGTGATAATTATTCAATAGGGAACAAAATTAACGCTCCAAGATTGGAGCAGCTAAAAATGATAAGAAAATCGAAGTCTACCGAAAATGAAGTTAGATAACAAATTTTCGTTATATCCAATTGTAATATAATATTTCGGCGTCAGATTTGTTCGGAAAACCAAAAAAGCTCGGAAATGATATGCCCTGGAAATTCCACAAGAAAAGGATACAACCCGAGAAAATACATTAATGTTTGCTTTTCCACTTTCACCGACGTATCGGCTTCCCGCAAATAAATCTCCCTTAAATCGAAAGATCTGCCACTGCTCTAATGCGAGCATTTTCATGCATGGAAACTCGATTGAAATTCAGTCGTCGCCTTTATAACGCCCGTCATTCCGCGGAAATCGAATCTCGCTTAACCAAGCTGGTTGCAGACTATAGATTTATCGATAACAATTACTACGTTGTACAGTAACAATCCTGTATAATAACGCAAATACTTAATCCCCAAACGGTTTGCTGCCAAAGAACTAATCTTCTGGAATTGATTGATAAATGTATTTCATATTTCAAGTAAAACGATGTTTTTAATAAAGTATATTACAAGATAGGCAAAACGTGAAATTTTAGTTTAGAATCTAACGGAATCGATTTGCATTAAAATATAAATGGTAAATTGTTGGCGAAGCCAAATTGATATGAAGTGTAAAGTGGAAATTATTCACTACTACGTATTTACACGAAACTTCGCACGTAGAATATGCACATACCGGCTCATAGTCTATTTTATTGTCAGAATTTGCGGTGCTATTATTCCAGATACGCTCAAACTGATGGGAGTTATTGCGGACAATGAATGGTGTAATGAGAGATTCGAACCGATGATAATTAATTAATTTATCCATCACGGGCTGACATGGAAGATTATTCGAAATAAATCGATATTACAACAAAAAGTGCGTTGTTTAGTAATAAAATTGATTATAAAAAGGTACTTGTTTAATGATTTATTTAACGCCTCAATCGGTTGAATTTGTTGAAATATTTTACACTACTTATCGATTCAAATTATCTTTTTATTAATATTTGTTTATTTTTTTTATAAATAAACACTACCTAATTCTAAATTAAGCAGTAATTACCTGAAATTGTTTGGTTCCTTACCAGCAACTAATTGTTACCGAGCCGAAATTCTTGGAACTGGCCCAAAGAAATCACTGTCAACGAATTTATCTGATATTTACACCAGCCCGTCGCGACGTACTGATAGCGGGGTTAGCGTCGTTCGGCGTCGTTCGGCGTCGGCGGCGTCCAAATCACAACTGTACACGAGGTTCGGCATCAACCCGGTGGAACGCCTGTTTTTCCAAGAAACAGTGAAGCACGCGTGGAAGCGAAGCAGCAGGACAATTTTTCACCAGATAACGGGAGGTGGATTAGCGTCAATTTAATCCGTGATTTGGGCGAATTGGGTTTCATCGATTGGTGTAATAAAAGCTGTTTTTTGTTATACCTACAATAAATCTCTGGTAATGAAATTGTTACCGAATAATCGAGGTTGAAGCTGTATTGTCCAGTTGATTTTGCCATCGCGTACGCTTCGCCTCTTTCGGGATTTGAGTTTGTTGAAATTGGGATAACAAATCTCTCGCATAGATTATGGCGGTCACAGAGTCACCGGCATTATCATATAAAAAGAGCATTTTGCATAATGTGGAAATTTGCATTTAATTGAAACGAATTTTTATGGATTCTGTGTGTTTACTATAATGACGAGTTGGATCAATATTAAATTGCTCATTCATATAACAGTTATGAAGGCAAATTATCTGTTTTTATAGGAGTTATTCGTAAAGACTAAAAGGTTTATTGTAGTTTCTAAAAGGTAATGAATTTTATATCATACAATAATTAGTTTCCTAAATATTTCCTAGTACCTAAACAAAAATTATTAAATACACGGCGCAGCGGAATATTTTTTGTTCGGTTCAGAATCCAGGCAGCGTTTGAAATTAGGCGTTTCGAATATCTCGCCGGGGATTTTGCAATTTTTTCTCAAAGAATTTAATACTCTGGATACCGCGTTTGTGGAAACACCAAGTCGTTTTGAAGCCGGGAACCGAGTTTTGTGTTTCCATTACCAGAACCGGCTTGCTCCTATGATTTATCCTTATCCACGAAATTGATATACGATATTTGATTTTCATAAAAATTACACTACATATTACCTCCTTAATAATAATATTAATCATTGTTTGAATTAGTTTTTATAGATAAAAATTAAACAGTGTATTATTAGTTGTAACTACTTATTTAGAATGGGTCTATATTTGTGTGTATTTACCTATAAATACCAATTTCAAGGATGTATATTGAAAATTGTAGTGACTGGCAAAAAAAACCAAAGAACCGATACTGGATTTACACACAACGCTGTTTCCACTGTGATGCCGTGATTTTCTCACTTATATTCAACGGTTGCCTTCGTTTTGCTTTTATATGCAGACAGGGAAAAGTAATTCACCAGTTGAGAAGAGGACTGCAAATTATTATTGCGTTCTCAAAGAGACGAGTTGTTTTTTCCCGTACATTATGCAAATTCACCAGCATGCAAGGAATTCAAATATACTACATCTTATAAAAACGAACTGAAACGAACGAAGTAAATTAATTATCTCCAACTATCCGATTTCAATCGACTCGATTTTAACGACAGTTCTTCAATTTACGCTCCAAACTCATCAGAAACTCGATAAATTAGCCGATTTCTATTCTAATAGCGGTCTTTCATCCAATACAAATTTACTCCCTTAATCTCATCGAAACTAGACTGCCTTATTCGGAGCAGTTGTCTCCTTACTGGGGCGTCCAACTTTCAGGTTTTCCTGCGTCCCCGGCGCTCCCGCGGGGGCGCGCAAAACGGCCGCCGTTCAGGCCGGGAACAGGCAGGAGATGAAGGAGGAAAGGCACAAATGAGAGAAAAGCCGGAAATTGAAGCCTCGGAGCGCTAAGTTGTGCAGCCGCGAAAGGAAAAGCGACCGGCACCGGTGGAATTCCGAATGAGATGTGGAAATAATTGCCGACTGGATGTGTACGGGGAAATTGTCGGACGGGGATATTTTTGTTTTCAGGCGCAAAATGGATCTCGAAAAAGTTAGGGAGAGTTTAATAGAAATGTTTCTGATAAATGAATTGAATGTATGTATGGCAATTGTAGTGGTAAATCTCTTGAATCCAAGAAATTGGTGTAACTTCAACTTAAAAAAAAATAATGCACAAGTTTTAATCGATTGTGTTGCGACAACCAATATGATCTATATTGAATAACCATATCGTAAAAGCTAGCAAAGGGTAATTAAATTATTTTGAACTGCACCTATAATAGCAGCCACTGATCTTTATGCACTCTAATTAAATGTAGGTACCTATATAGTCTAAAAAGCAACTATGGCATCGTCAAAATCCAAAATTAGTTTAACTAGTTAGGTGAAAGTTAAAACGGTATCTAGTTTAGTCAGAACTAGTTTCAACAATGCTCCTCTAGCAGAACTGGAGTTAGCTATTTTCCCATGGAAAACTACGAATAATTTTCCAACTACACCAATCTTGTTCGCTTTATACTTACATAACTCTTAGTACTTAAATTTTAAATGTAAATTATTAAAACTGATAGTACAGGTATGCAAGTTTTTTAATCCCTCCTTTCCTTACTTCATGTCAATAAATATTGACCCGAATTTTAACAGACTTAAAAAATGTTCTTGTCGTTGAAAAGGCAGAAAAATATTTTTAATATTCAATTTCCTTACGTTCGGCACCCTCCCGATGGTAGAATTCCTGGAGTCGAAATTCCTATCGAAACTATTTTCGTGCCGCGCTTGGTAACAATTATCGCACATAAAAAACCTTTACATTACAAGAAAACTGCCTAAAAATCTCTGTTATCTAAACAACCATATCGTAAAAGCTAGCAAAAGGTAATTAAATTATTTTGAACTGCACCTATAATAGCAGCCACTGCTGATCTTTATGCACTCTAATTAAATGTAGGTACCTACATATATAGTCTAAAAAGCAACTATGGCATCGTCAAAATCTAAAATTAGTTTAACTAGTTAGGTGAAAGTTAAAACGGTATCTACTAGTTTAGTCAGAACTAGTTTCAACAATGCTCCTCTAACGGAACTGGAGTTAGCTATTTTCCCAGGGAAAACTACGAATAATTTTCCAACTACACCAATCTTGTTCGCTTTATACTTAACTCTTAGTACTTACATTTTAAATGTAAATTATTAAAACTGATAGTACAGGTATGCAAGTTTTTTAATCCCTCCTTTCCTTACTCCATGCCAATAAATATTAACCCGAATTTTAACAGACTTAAAAAATGTTCTTGTCGTTGAAAAGGCAGAAAAATATTTTTAATATTCAATTTCCTTACGTTCGGCACCCTCCCGATGGTAGAATTCCTGATGGAGTCGAAATTCCTATCGAAACTATTTTCGTGCCGCGCTTGGTAACAATTATCGCACATAAAAAACCTTTACATTACAAGAAAACTGCCTAAAAATCTCTGTCATCTAAACAATTACCGTCGTCACGTGACGACCGGGGATCCTCATCTTCGGCTATCCATTTAGACGTTAGCCGTCCTTGTCGGGGAAAAGAAGAAAAAAATGGTGACTTCCCATCCCGTGCTAAAAATATCCAGAATGAACGAAATGTTAAAATTATCTCGTTGGGGAGCCATGGCACGACAGTCGACTGTCTGCCTGTTGGGGTCTCACAACCTACCACGTCAGGGTAGGTCGGTCAACCCATGACGTCATCTATTTATTATTTCCGAAAAAAAAATTGCCGGATCGCCGTTTTGTCCGCTAATTTAATTAAAAATCCTGCATATTTTTTGTGAAAGTGCCTCGTTCGTGTTCGCTGAAAATTTAACGAGGTAAGATCGCTATTTTTTTTAATTCGAAACAATTAAACACATTTTGGGAATATTTGTTTCATAACAGCGAGATATCATTTTTTATTTTTTAAAATATCTGGCTTAATTTGATCAAAGTAAGATCAAATTTCGCCGAGTAGTATTTTTACATTTGAATATCTAAAATATTTGAAAATTTTCTGCTGATTGCGAGCTAAAAACTGGATTTTAGAGAATTTTAAGTGCGACAGAAATACCTGTAGACATGACTTGCGCGACCTTCAAATGATAATTAAACTGGTAATGACTATTGCGCATCGTATTTACCCTCGCATCTACATCATTCCTTTCTTATTACACATAATTCCGAAAATGAAATTCGTAAGAATTAAATCTAATTTTCCTAATGATTGAACTAGTTTTTCAAGCTTCTTAGTGCCAAGTTCAATGCTTTTAAAGATTCTTGTATTTTTTTAATTTCAATTATTCATTTAAATTTGCTCGAAAATCCTCGTTTAAACTCATTACAATGCAGAAGTGCAAACTTTTCCAACAAAGGGAATAACTGAGCAAAAGGAAAACGAATCAATTTTATAGTCTTGTATAGGTAAGACCTTTCTGGTATGCTCGTAACGGAGGCTAATCCTCTTTAAAACTCAAATACTCAATCTCTGTAAGCAATTCATAATTTCAACTAATCGCTTATCCAGTGATCGAAAATTTAACTCGTATACTTGCTGTTATACGATGATGTTAAAAAAGTCAAATGCCAATTAAACTACTAAAATAACAAATGCAAAATTTGTTACGATTAGATAATGTTCAAAAGAATTTCAAATGTCAATGAACAAAAAAGACCGTTAAATTTTATATCTCGGTTATCCAATATTAACTCCCCCAATTGAGTTTAATTTACTACCAATTAATGCTTTTTATGAACCCAACGAGATTTTAGAAATTCTCAGTAAGGACACTGTGTAGAAAAATAATTTATTTCGAAACTAAATATTATCTATATTTGGCATTAATAGCTTATTTATTATTTCTTAAATTATAACGAATAAAACGCATTCTCTTCGTTGAATTCGTAAGCACTTTTTACTTTCGTTACAAAAATAAAAATTTTGGGCTCGCGAGTAGGAAAAGTGTCGTCAAAATACACTTGGTTCAAATAATTTTCGATCTGTTCCCGTTTCTAAATTTATTAGTTTTAAAAGGAAATTGTTTTCGGTTTTATGGGTTTTCGGATCACTCGAAAAACTAAATTTGTCGAATAATATAAGTCTCGTCGGTGCTCTAAATATTATTAATACTTATTTTACAACAAAACAACGACAAGAAACTCCGCCAACGATCCTTTCTAAATATACAGTTAACGTTTACGCGCATACGAGCGACGATGTTGAAAAATAAAAAAAAAAGTCTTATCTACGTAGGGGGTAATTTAAAACACTCTTTTGACACCTCCGCGCTACCGCTCTTACTTAAATTTAGTGCACTAATGCTTCTTCTAAAGTAAGTAACGACACATCTTGATGAATGCGCTAAAGCAAAGGAAACACAACTTTCGGTCTATTTTCGAACAAATCCCGACTTCCTCTACCGATTCTAATTGTTCTCCACTTTCGATTAGAAACCGATAGCGTCGGATAAATCGGATGAATAAATCCTCGAAATGTAATACTTATTTCGAGTGTCTTCGAATGATAATAATAAACACGGGGAAGCCGATGCGCCTAGTAAACCGGATGAGGCCCCAGATAAAGGTAGAAAACATCTGTGGGGGTGCAATCACCTCGGCGACATATTCGTTTCCCCTTTAAAGTTTGTATTCCAAAACACGAACGCACGTTCTCCACAAATGAATTTATTTATGTTCATTCATCATGATTTATTCGAACGAATGACAAAACAAAACGGGTAGCTTTAAAATATAAATAAATGTTCCAAAAACATTTGGCCTTTTAAAACTGTAAGAGTAGCTATTTTATTATTTATCTTTAATAGTTGTGATTAAGAGGCATCAGGAATCAATTGTTGGTGTGCTTTTAAAACTGTAGAGTAGCTATTTTATTATTTATCTTTAATAGTTGTGATTAAGAGGGAGGAATCAATTATTGGTGTGCTGATTATTTCAGTTATAAAGAGGAAGACAACTGAGGAATTTTTGTAATCGAGTTATCCCCTGTACAGATTGCCTTATTCCGCACCCGAACGCCTCGGTGGGGAAAACGAATATGGCGATATCTGAAGTGTTCGCCTAATTTATTTTCAATATCCTTTTCACGGCTTGCAGAAAACTTAATTTGCAGAAATCTCATTACGTTTGCTGGGAATTCATAAAGTTGTTTTATTAAAAATATCGAGTTATTTTTTATGCTCGATGACTCTGTATTATGTTGAAAAAAGGGCTCTTTCGAATAATTTCTTTTTTCAGGATCATGGATTTTCGAAACAGCATGGATTTTGATCAAGTGTTCCGGAGAAGCATTGATTTTGATTTGCTTGTTGAGAGTCAAAGTCTGGCTGCTTCTACAGATGAAATTTTGTGGTCAGACGATGATACCATTATTGCAGAACAAGAAATTACGTGGAATAAAGGTAAGAAATAATTTGTGAAATGGTGAAATCGAATTACAGGTAAAAAACTGAAATAAGTAATAAGTGTTGTCTAACTTAGAATCGACTCCTAAGTAAATAATGAAATAATATTTGTTATTCACCTGCTGTACTTAAACTTCGTTTTTTACAATACGTAGGTAAATAATTAACAAGATTATTACTAATTAATCTCGTTAATTTAAATACTATCTAGTTAATTAAATTTAATGCTGAAAATAAATTATTAAATGTGAATGAAAATTTATTCAAAGTTAATCAATTACACAAATGAGCGAGTATACACTTCCTGGATGGTAAAATGTGAATGAAAAAAAAATCAAAGCAACATTTCGCAACATGTTGCATATCAAAAAGTCGCTTCTCAAAATCGTGAATCATATACTTACTTTCTCATGGGAGACACCCACTGGTGTATTTTAAAATTTAAATAATTTATTTATTTTTAAAGGCGACTTGTCCAAACACAAAATAATATCTGGGTCGACTCGGATCAAATTGGAAATTCCTCTGGAATTAATTTGAATTTAAACAATTTTTTAATCATCTCAAAAAGGCCCGAATCATAAATACCTATGTTTATGTTTTTTACAGCACGTTACAACATGCCCCATCATTACAAAACGATACGTTTTTTATTCCTCGGTTATTTTTAAACAAGGTCAGTCGAAAATTAAAATATGTTTTCCTTTTGTAACGATAGATTAAAGAGTTGATGTACTTTCAAACAATTTAATCAATCGCCGTTTCACTGCATCACGGCCTGGTCAGTTAGCTAGGATACATTCAATTAATTCGTACAAAATTCTCTCGATCTAGTACAGTGAACCTTCGAGCCGCATCCCCACTTCCACGTTTTTGGTTCTTTTTTGTCATTACATTACGAGGAAAGAGCAAAACTGGATATCCCGTTTGACTTATATGGTTGCATTGTGTCATCAAAAACGGCCTGTCTAGTCTTTCGAATTAGAACCGGCTTTCATGCGTATTTTATACGAAAGTATACGTACCGTGTAACCTAAGTACCTTTGTAAGTACGTGTTACAGACCTCTACAGGGTGTTTCATCCATCATCAACCTTCAACACTTTTATTTTACAAGTATATTTTACTTCTTACATTGTTTTTAATGTTGAAGCTAGTCGAAAATAGGTTGAATTAGCATACATTTTATCTGGGCATTAAATTTTAAATCGCACGTTGGCGTAAAGACGATAGATGGTCATCGGCTCAATCAGGAAAACAAACGTTGTTTTATTAGACATAAACCCACCGTCGGTGTATCTGTCGAATCTAAAAATACACGAAAATTCAAATAAACTCCATGTATGAACATGCCGATTTCGTCGGAGCTGAGGTGAACCCGAGAGTGGGCAGTCTCACTTCCCTTTTGCTCCGGCTTGCGTGTTCATTTGCATCGCAGAACGAGTTTCAGCTAGCACATTAACCGGCAGTCTGGTCGATCATAAAAATATTATAATGTCATTTTTTTGCATGCGTAATTCGCAGTTTCTCCGGAAAGGATTTTAAAAACCACGCGGGATTTAAACGCTACGGGGAATCCGACGCCTTTTTATCGCGCAATCTGAACCCGAAGAGTCCAGTTTCGGGTCTTCATCAATTTTTCTTCGTTACACGCTTTATTATAATAGGCGTAATAACTCGGAATATTCTCAATAACGCCGTTCGAAATATCCATTCAATCGAAAACATCCATAGAAGCGATTATACCTTATTTACGACTATTCTCGCTCAGGACGGGACGCTGGACTATAAATCGAGATAAGGATATTCAAACTATAAGCAGTTAAGCGAGTGGTACGCCCACGTTCGCGACTTTTCTCAATGAAAAGGCTTCGATAGGTGATGGGCGTTAAATAATTTCTTAAGTATGTAATGTACGTTTAACCGATTGACGGTTCTGCAGTATCGGCGACGCCGTCATTTTTGGTATTTGTGAATGGGAATGAGCAAGAATCAAAGGCGTACAAGCCAAATTTTAAATTCCTTCAGCACATTATTATATTTTATCGAGAGCAATTTTCATCAGATGATGAGAAACGAGGAATACAAGTATCGATTTACTAGGAATTAATACAGGTATTTTGCACCAGTGGTTTCCTAAGCGTTTAGTACTAACTACAATTTTTAAAAATATTTTAAAGGCTCCTTTTTTTATGAAATCGTTTACTACGCCTCTGGTTGTACGCACACACATCGTCTCGCTCGTACAGACTGCAGACTAAGGTGGAATTAACGCTCTTTCAATTCTAATGGCCCTGCCTCTGACTTCCGTTAGCTTTTTGTGTGGATATATCTTAAATCGATTAGAATTTCATTAAATTCAACGTACGAAATTATTTTTTTAAAGAACGCCATTACTTGTGGGCTACAATAAAGCATCACAGGAAGGAAATCTTTCCCGAAGGGAAGATGCAAATTTGTGTTTACTCTACCTACAACCCGTCGAAATGGAAGCAAAATACGGTAAAGTAAAAGGATTGTGTAATAGTTGTGTTAGAATGGAATTCAATGAGACTGGAAGCTATTTATTTAGCCTCCTCGGAGGAGGAAGCTTCGGGCTTGAGGAAAATTGCGAATGTATAGATGCAAACAAACGAAACAATACACTATATGTGACAGTGGAAGAACATATTATAAAATAATATAGTGAATAGATTACACTACATAAGATATAGAGTTGATAGTGGAGGAAATGCGTACAATAAATTATTCTCTTCGTGTTCAATCTAAAATTTTGATTTTTTTTGAGTTATAAGAGCTAAAAAATTGTATGAACAAAACACAAGGAAGTCGAAATCCTCTAGTTTGCTGGATATAAAAGATACAAAGATATCTTTGTAACTCTCGAGATAAATGCAGTTTGAAAGACTAGTCGCTGTCGCTTCGCCTATTTCAGAGAGGACAGCGACGCTCGCACTGATCTGGAGGAGCCCCGTGACCCGAGACTGAGGCTCCACTCCACTCAACTCGTTCGGCGCTCGGCGTAGAGTTTTCTTTTCAGTTTCGAGTTTCGAGTTCAGTTACTTTATTAAGCGCGAGAAGGACGGAACGCCGACTGAAATCGTTCTCGCTGCGCAAAAAACGTGACGGTTCAGCTCGGATCCGCGGGTTTCCTCCGATAATTCCACCTTCGATTGCGACTGGACGCCGTTCGTTCGATAATCGATATATCCGGACTTTCAGTGACACCCCGACGAGCATTACCCGATCCGATTGACTTTTAAATCGAATTGTGCGTTATTAACGTGGATTATTTTTTATTTTTCGTTAAATGTGAGCATCCTAAAACTGGATTTTAATTGGAACGCCGTACTCGAGTAAGCGAGCAGTAAATTTATTACGTTTGCATTTAAATGCGAGAGTAAGATGTAGAAAGTGGGTCGCAGAAATTAAAGGTTTACTCAAAAAAATCTGATCTCGAAGACGACGAACAACGAACGGTGACTCAGAAATCGGCAATCATCACGTTCGTACGGAACCTGTGGATGGTATTGAAGTAAAAATTACGAACGATTAGGTGGATGAGATAACATTTTTTTAAATATCGATTGCCCTATCTATGTAACACTTACGTATTTGTTTACATACATGTCGTGTGCCTTGTTTCGAAGTCACCATTTATTTATAAACATTCCGTTTGTGTCGATTTCGATGCATAAATCAGGAATGTGATTTAAAAAAGTACAATGCGTTGAAGTTGGTGAAAGACCCTCGACGATTTAACTAAAGGGCATTACAGCTTCGCTTTCGTAAACGTCGTGTAAGCAATAAAATTGGATTTATTGCATAGTTCTTCGGCTATAAAGAAACGGAGAGGATCAATCAAAATGTTTATTTTATAGGCAATGCAATCAGTTTATCGTAAAAATGATTACAATAAAACCGTATAGAGTACGGAGATAATAAAACCGTTATTATTACATTTAAAGTAGTTAATAATTATAGTACATTATACATAGAGATGTGTTAGTTTCTTCAAATCCAACTGCTATCTTTCTTCAAACATGTTTGAAATTATTAACATCTTATTTTACCTTATTATTGTGGAAGCGAGTGAGAAGAGCAATAAAAACTCGGGAGTCCAATTAACAACAGTTTATTAAGGGCAAAAAGAAGCTAGTTTCTGTTTAAACGGTCACCATAAGACCTAAGTATAAGACAATTTAATTAATAAAATAATCCAGCACGAAAAGACTTGACTTGTTATTTTATTATTCAAATTTTTGTCTCTGCACTTAGACCTAATGATTGGCATTTAGATCAAAACTATACTTATCTTTATGTATGGTCCTACAAGATTATTAAATTTACAATTTGCCAAAAAGAACATCCAAACAATATCAGAAGATAATCTGCTATTATGTCTAATTATTTGAGCAGAAACGGATAAAAAGTAATTCGGCACGGATATCTCGGCTTACTCTTATTACGAAAACTCCGGCTTTATATGAAGCTGAAAAGTAACTGACAGCGAAAAGATAATGTCAATAGCAAGTAACTAAATGATAATGGACCACACATTGAGAAAATAAATTAAAATTAAATCAATTAACATTGAATCGAGCTGATATTACAACCAATTACTGCGGCGTTTATAGATCACAAACGTCCGTTTCGCCATAGTTTTATCAATTTAGTGAATAAAATTATATCAGTGGGTTATTCATCGGTTGAAATTTGAAGAATATTCTTCTACCTTTAAATGTGCTTGAGATCGTGATCTTATCTGTTTTTTTTTCACTTTTGTTTGTTCAGGAGTGGCTATCCTGTGGTTTTTGTCAAAATGATCTAATCTATTACATAAGGAAATCGCGATTTTCTGTGCTTCTTCTAGTTTTAATTTTATATTTAATTTAATTCATACGTTATTTTATAGAAGTAAGTACTTTCATAAATTCCTAATTTTCTTCGCCATTCTTATTGAAAATATTGTGTAACACAAAGACTTTGATCTCTATCGACTATAAATTTCAATTTGCAAATAAAATTCAGCCTAATCAAAATGAATGCATAAACGTAGAAACAATTCGTTCATTAGGAAAGGCAAACAATACATTTTTTGTTGCGATTATGCAATTAGGACAAGCTCCTATTATAGCTCAGCAGTTCCTAATCATATATTCAAAGCAAATTTGTCGGTAGATGTATAAAATAAATGGTCACAGACAATATTATGTTGATGAGATAGCTCTAAAACTGGAATAATGTTTATGTGCATAATTATACAGGGTTATTTATATCTACACACCACTTTGCAAAGTTGCAGATGATTCATTGCTCGTATTGTTTTAGGACACATTATTATTTTAACAGTATGTTTTCAGTGACATATCCACAAGAGTCTTTTCAAATCTCTACAAAATTTATCTTATTCGATTTCAAAAATTTTGTGTAGATTGGTATATGAATAGGCAATAGAAATTTCTAAAGATATGCAATTTACATACCTTTATGCAATGTACAGTTCGTTAAATATACCAAGTTTGATAAAATATTCATATTTTTGTGTTCAATCCAGATAAGAAATGTTTCGTGTATGCAATCGTTTATGAACCGAAAAAAAAAACACTTCTATCTACCGACCTATTTTATATCGATTGTGGTATGTATGTAGATTTTAATACAATAAAATTTAGTGCTATGATAATAATAATTATTCATATTTTTGAATATTTTTAGGTCAATAGTTTTCTATAAAGATTTATTAAACACGCATAAGTTTTTAGTGCTGTAATATTTCATCATTTTAATTTTAAAGATACTGTGTAGCAATTTTGACTCAAACATTTTTCAGTTATTTGAAATTCTATTGGAATTCAGAGGAGTTCAGTAAACAGTCGGAAAACTAAAATCAATAATACATTAAATAAAATGCTAATAATATCAACATACAAGTATTATCTATCACATGCTAGACTGATACAATAGTTAACAGCAGGAGGTACGATATTTTGAATGCGAATAATCAATAAAAATGGCTAGATTAAATTTCTCATCATCAATAAGTATAAGTACCTATAAGTAGGATCCTTGAGAAACTCACGGATAAAACTGGATAGATATTTTACATTTTCAGCAAATTGATGATTCAATTTGGAAGAGGAATGCATTGAATTCGGAATACCTAACAACCTATTTTACATTTTTTCTGTGAATTTTTACCCGTCATGAATAAAAAACATTCTGCTAAATTAAAAACACATAACATTTGACAAACATATTACTTATAAAAGAGATGACAAACACACACGAATGACTCGCATTCAAATAAGATTTAATATTTTAATTAATTTCGCAATCCTCGTTAAACGTATTGAGAGCCGTAAAATTTCTGTTTATAACTTAATTCACAGCCGATTTAGTAAAGTCGCATTCATTACGCAATTAACATTTTTACTTGCACAAATTTACTTGGGCAGACATAAACAAATTGCATAAGGAAACTCATTAATTCAAACGTTGGGGCTGCAATCGATATATTTATGTTGTAGTGTTAGAAATTACATTTAACCATATGTGGGCTGATCACACCGCGTCTACCGCGAAAATGAAAATCCGAATACAAATTGCTAAATTATGGTATTAATTACGTATTACAAATTGCTTATGGACTTTTAAATAACTCGTGAAATGCTTGTTAATTCATCAAACCGGCAAAATTTCTAATATGCAGCAATTATAAGTGTCATTTTGTCTATGAATTAGTCATATCGGTTACTTTCTTCTTCATTTCCTAATACCTAACTCATTTGTAAGTTAAGAAATATGTACAGGTAGAAGTAGAATTAACTGAAAGGATGATAAAGATTGGGAGATCGAAAAATAAATAATTATTAATCATTAATTTAGTACTTCCATCAATTTGTTGGCGATCATGCAATTTCAACAAAGTAAATTGCTTAGTTATACAGTTAAATGATGCACATTAGTTTATCATTACAAAGTTTTTTATCTCATAATATCTGCTATAGTGAACTCATATATTATTTTAAATAAGCGTTTCCTTTACTCTAAGAAACGTTTAATAACGTCTAGTTAAAATTCCGCAGGTTAATAAAATAAGTCTTTTAACGGTAATCGCCGTTGTATTTATTATGCCGTGAATACTAACGCAGGGAAAAATGCATGAGTGCAGCAGATTTTCTGGATATTATAAATTATAACAGTCGAATTTACAAAGAAACGCAGAATACACAGCTAATTAGCCTACTTAAATTTTACCAAGCCATTAATACGGAAAAAAGGCAATTAAAAAAGCAATAATTGTTTCAGCAAAAAAACGTTGACACAAACTCGCTAAATTTCACACAATAAAAATTGAGTTGAATAACGGTACAATAATAAAGGAACTTCGTATAAAATTTTTACACATTGTCTGGTGAAAGTTAATAAAAGTAATGCTCATTGATGAAATACGGGATAATATGGAGGGCTTCTTAACCCACTTTCATTTATTTAGATGCGAGTTAAAAACCAATTTAGTTAGTGAAAACACAAACACGTATTCCTAGAATTGGCAGTGTTTGAAACTAATACAATATTCAATCAAAATTTTAATAATAATTCATGAGTTTCCCAAACAATGCGTGCCAAAATTGGGTTAATATCAAACAATAGCAAACTAATTTATTAACATTATTTAAATTGCAAAAAAATTACTGATGATGTATTAGTTAATAATTTTGTACCTACCTATAGGTTCTATAATTTAATAATTTGTGTTATAATAAATGAAAGTAAGCTAAATCGAATACCAATTTAATTTATCAAATTAAAATTCATTCATCATGTTTTTTGTAACTATAAAGATGAATAATATTTAAATGGCATTGTTTTAAAATCCTTAAAGAAAAAACGTCTGTTTTACAATTACCTGTTGTGATTATACAAAATAACTATAAAATGATTGTGACCATGCAGTAATTGTTTAAAATTCCGCTTACGTTTCGATAAGAATTTTAGCTTAATTAATGAAGTGTTAGTCATTTAATTTAATTCCGAGTTTCCTAGATACAGTATCAATCTGCATATAATTAACTATAAATTGATTATTTACTGATTTGCCTGTTTTTATAAACGACTAATTATCATATTTATTACAAGGAAAGAATATATTCGTGATAAGTTTTTGTTGCATCTCTGTTTCAAATTATCTCATTAAGTTTTTAACATTTGGATCGAATCACTTTCGACTTTCGAGTGATTAGCACGCAACGAAATTAGTTATTTAAATGGTATTATAGAGCCCAATAGTATCAATTAAACATTATGCAAGTTGAATTATACAACTTTAATTTATTCAGGTATCTAAAAGGCAAAGAAATAGTTAAAGATAAATGAGAGAATCGATATAAAGCGGAAATACTTCATTTTGGTTTTTATTTAGTTCTATCGCCTTTAATCTGAAAACTGCGCTAACTTCCAAAATTTCAATCCATATTCTTTTTCAACTTCTGTAACTTAAAAGTTATCTTCATTCATTGCATTCGATAAAACAATCAAACAATCATTGTCTTAGTTTATGGTATTTCCTGTTAGGGATGCAAAAAAAGCTATCTGAACCAGCTACTTGTAATATAAATTGCCATGTGCGTGACAGATTAGATAGTTATGGTTAAATGAGTTCTTCGACCTTGAACCAATCATTGTCTATGAAGAGGAAGTGGGCCTGGGTATTTAAAAAATATATGTATTACAAGATTAATATGGCGAATGCCCGTTCTCCCATGACCAAAAGTATTTCACGTGCATTGAGCCCGACAACTAAATCGGACCAATTTGGTTTTGTGCTTTAATTTATTGTAGAAAGTTTGGTATTTATGGTAGAAATTTTTTTATGTTTAATATAAATATTTTTTTTGTTGGAAATGTTTAATATAACAGAACATGATAAATGTGGTTTATGAAATATTTTCGCGTATATTTATTTAAAGATTCACTTTTTGATTATAGATAAAAGCGGAATTTTGATATTTATTTCACCGTGGAAATATCTATCGGTTTTTTATTGTAATTGCATAGATATAACATACAAGATGGATCAATGTGGGATTTTTCATTGTTGAATGGCGCCACATGGGAGATAAAAAAATCTACACACTCATAAAATTAATCTGATTTTATGATACCTGCTCGTCTAAAAATAAGCGGTTAATAACTCCATTCAGGATAAAAACAAAAAGAAAGCATTACCTGTTCGTTTTAGTTACAAAACACGTTTCAGTTTTGCGTTAGTTTCCACGTTTTATTTTAATTTATTCTCGGAAAACAATTTCAATTTTTCCTACTCATTGCTTGGATGGCATCTGAGAATATATCAATAATAACGTTCAGAAATGAAGCAATGATAGAAAATCCTTCACTAACTTACACTGGTGCATTTATCTTGTTTGGAATTATTCAAATATTCCTAACCAGAGGATTAGCTAACATGGCATTAGAAAAGAACATGAATAATTTATCGGTGTAATTAAAACGCGAAGTCAAACAGGTGTAACATTGTGTTAATAGGTCTATCAAGGTCGGATAAATAATAATATAGATCGTAAAAATTTTAAATATTTCTATTATAAAGTAGGTAGATAAAGCAGATTGAAATATCAACTATTAAACAAACAAAACAAGGAGTTTGCAAGAATTATGGTATTATCAAAAAATCAATAAACGTGTTAAATGTGTCAATAAAAGTGGAATTGTTAAAGGATATAAGTCCGTTGCGAAATAAACTTACCAGTAGTTCCGAGAAGTGTTAACATTCATGGTATTGTTCATGCAGTTAGCGCTTACAGGAAGTATAACATTTGCGGAAACAACGTAATTTTCACAAAAATGTTTTTCTAAGAAACAATACATAGACCGTTGGACTTCCAAGTCTAACCACCGTTTTGTCCAATTCCTGTACAGTTCATTCGTTATGGAATATCCTGTGTGTTCAAACTGATGTTTACATTAATTACATACTAATTAATTAGTTCCTTAATAGCCACTTTCCGGTTATTTAATTAATAATAAAATGAACTGTCAGAGAAGCTTTTCTAAGAATAAGTAATTGCGCCAGTGTCATAATACAACAATACCTAACAATACCTAAAACTTATCCGGTGGGCTTTAGGTAATTTTCAGAAGTACTGAACAATAAGACCTCGCTGAATACTACTCTTTGTAAGGTTTAGAATAAATATGGAGCGGCCTTTCTTTGCTACTTTGTAACACAATAATGATCTTCGCTGCTGTTATCAGTTATATTCTCTAACAAGTCTTTATTGCTCAGGCATTATATTACATTTAGAAAATTAAAATCCATTGTTGTAACGCGTTACAACTTTTAGCAATCTTATGACAATTTACGATGTGCATAATGGATTTGTAACTGCTAATTAATTATCTCCTATTTAACAGTAGCTATAACTGTTCTGACTAATTAAACTTGCCGAGTAATTTGTAGAGATATAATTAATCGCTCTCCGATACACAAAAAAGGCCTATTAGCATCCATTTTTTTAGTAGGTATAAGAAATATGTTCTAGTTGTTGATGGTTCTGCGACCCACTTCCTCACTCGTTTGATGCACCTCTCAAAATGTTCACAATTTCTGTCGGTTCCTTTCAGGTAAAATCCCATAAATACCGCCGACGGGAGACGGGAGACGGTTCTGTGTTTCCGTGAAACGGGCACAAAAAAGATCGTATAATCTCGTTCGCACAAATTGAAAAGATAAGTAGGTAGAAGGCAAGCTAATGTTCCTCATCTTAGTTCGGGATGGTGCGTTATATCTATGTGTAGAATAAAAGTTCAGTGGCCTGAAGCAAGACGCGCGACCACTCGCTGGCAAGTGCAATTTTACGTGAACTGCAACATGTGAACGGTAAAGGAAGAGCGAAATAGTTTTTTGTTCTCGAGGATGTCGTTGAAAGAGCAAATATTAAATAACGAAGTTAATCTTTCCACGTTAGGTGAGTAAAAGACGTTTTAAAACTACTGTAAATTATACTTCTCATTTGAAACTACTCTTTTTGTTAGACATAAATCTCTTAAATATTCTCTTACATCAACTTTTTAATCACATAGCTAGTGTAAAATGTCTAATATCTAGATATCAATATATCAATAATTTTGCAACTATCTTTTTTATACATACTTTTATTCATACAAAGATTTTGATAGATATAATTTTAAAGGTGTGAGAGCGATACTCTGATGGTTTCGGTTAATAATTATTGAACGAAAATACAAAGCATATTACCAAATCATTCACGCAGAAATTTTAAATTGCCGTAAAGTAGAACAGTCAAGCTCAAGACCATTAATTTAAATATCATTTTTATACATTTTTTGACGGTGTGTACTTCCAAAATGTTGCTTAATGATCCGAATTTCCGTTTATTTTATCGACGAAAAAGTACTTAATTGATTTCCACGCGCGCTTTCTTTGCCGATTCAAGGTTCCTATCAATTTTTTAAAGAAATTCTTAAATTATAAAGCAATTTCACTTTAATAAATTATGCAACAATTACCATTACAAAACGTATAAGCAGATACATAAGAAAAAGAAATGTTCTTTCACTTCGCAGAAGCATTTATTAGTTAATGCAATGAAATTTGCAGTCTACACTAATAACTCCACCTTAAAATATCGATAGTTCTGAGAAATATTATTCACTTCCAATAAAAAGCCAACGCTCTGCGCTGAATTGCTGAGGCTATTGCCTCGTAAAACCCGCAAAGAAATCGAAAACAAACCTAAAAAGCATCAGATTAACATCGAAAGTCGAGAACAGTTCACACGGCGTACTATTAAAGGGACGCCGATTGTCTTCAGGTAGACCGAGGAGGTAGAGATTCCGCTTCGAATTCTACAGGTTTATAATTAAACTACTGTCTAGACATTCCTGCATAGAAGGTAGTGATCGACAAAAATCTAGTCCGGGCCTAATTTCTCGTGAGTCATCAAGCATGAAGCCGTAAAAAAATACGACGACTGAAAATACCTGCCTTGAAATAGCCTAGAATTTGTGGCAGGTTCGAGGTTTTTCTTTTTGTAATGATACTCGCTGTAAAAACGATTCAAAATGTTTGAAGAGATCAGAAAGTAGATGATACTTTGTACAATCTTCTGAGACCTGCATGCAGCATGCAGTTAATGATAACGCAGGAAATACCGGTTAACATAATCACAATATCCTGGCGTCTTGCTCTGACAAGACAAGTTAAATAAATCAGCTCGACATCAAAACAAGGTTAAATTATTTTTAATGAAATATATCGCTCCTGTTTTCGCAATAACCATTTAGTAATTAGTTAACGAGAGTAGTACCGATTATCTCATTATTTACATTATTTTTAATTATGTATCGATCGAACGACGCCACGCAGATGTAGATAAGCTCGGCTAAATGGTGGACCGAATGTAAATATATGGAATATCCTTGTCGCAATCGCTGTATTCGTATTGTTAGGCTTGCATGGATATATTGTTACCGTTGCAATTAAATTTATGAATGAAAGAATGCTCTCTTCCGCTCGAATGCTATTTATCATTCTAAATTCATTTATCTGAAGTTTTCCTTCGGGGTATTATCGCTTATTATGACTAGAACATTTCGCATTTAACAAACATCATTTCCAGGATAATAGTTCGAGCAAATCGTCAAATCATTGTTTTACTCATAAGTTTCTCCAATTATAACTATAATTAGCATCTAAAATTGGCAACTATTATACATAGTTTAGAGAGTACAATTTTTTTTTAGATACACTTGTGTGTAGTGGTTATTCTCTCTTTATTGATGTCGTATAAATATTTACTTAATTTCAGTTATTTATTCTATTTTTTTTTTTGGTTTCTGCACAATCGTAGTAACTTTTTCTCGCAAACCTTATGGTAAAATCACAATTGTAGTTAATTAGCGAGGTTGACAAGACTTTTGTAGCATAGTTATAATTGTTAACTGTAATTGAGAAATTAACCGTGAACTTTATTAGGCTTTGTGGGTGCAACAATTAGATGTTTAGACTTTTTTCAATCAATTACCTTTTGAAGGGTACTTAAACAATAACCCGAAGGTTATTTTTTCAAACATTGCGTAACGCATCAAACCAGCAAAATCGAGAGACCATTGCGTAATATCAAACGAAGTGTTCAGTAGTTTTTAATTGCCAATGGAGTTTATACTGATATACATGTTTATTTTAAGAAACTTTCCATTTTATTTTTTTTTTCGTATTTTTACATTAACTATATGATTTATATTTAATAAAATGTATGCAACTGCTTTCTATACTTATTCATCAGTATGATTAAATGTACAGAGTGATTTACTACCTCTATATTAGTACTTCAGTTTCGACTTTCAGTAATTCGCCAAACCCAGAACCTTGTTAGCATTCTCATGATTGCTCTGTATAAACAAAACGTTCAAAAAAAAGCCTATACATTAACCACAACCTATATAGGCATAAAATTTTTCAGAACACAATCCTTTCTCCATACGCATATGCAGCGGATATAAATATATTATTAGTTATAACTTGACACTAAAATTACACAAATGTGCAATTACTTGTCTTATGGTATAAGCGCTCGGGCATAAGAATTGCAAGAGAAATACGATTCGAGATCGTTTTGACCTCAATTCACCACCAATGCTATCACGAACTAAAGCCAACACGGAACGTTAAGTTTACCTATTGAATTGATCATTTTATATACTGAGTGTATTCGCAAATCTTCAGTAACAATTTTTCTAAACGGGAATCCTCATCTCTTTTAACCATTCCATTCGTTTCTCGTCCAGTTTAAATATCCATTTACACTTCTAAGTAGTTTATGAGAAATTCTAATTGATTCATCCATCGTAATTGATTCAAATCTAACGATAGAACACCCTGTAGGCTGGTTGTGGACCAAGTGCAAGGAAAAGCGGTTTATTGCGAAGCCGGTTAGACTCGGAGGTAAATCCGAAGCCACACCTGCTATCCTGCTCTCTTCGGCTCCGTGCGATCGAAGAATGGGAAATAAGTTGTATCGGAAAAACGGCGAAGCGCGAATCGCTAGTCATGAAAGGCGACTGCATGTCTGACGGCGTTCGGCTCGATTCTATTCAATAGTTCTTGTAAATCTAGCAGGAGCCGATGATAACTCTATTTAAAACTATCGCGATGTTTCCATTGTTTTATGATATACTTACTAGATGTATGGTAACGGTCGAATGGAGATGTATTTTATGCAAAAATTAAGATTAGAATTTGGGGTAATAAAAATACTTTAAATAATTGCGCAAGATTCGGTGATTTTATCAAGATTTCTTATAAACGCTTTCACCCGAGTAATCTTTATTGATGACATTAAAACCGAAATTATTCTTTTAATTGACAAGACTTTACCGATTTCAGTCGATTCCCTATCAACCCGCTGTTTTATAATAATTATAAACGCCGTTTTAATTTCTTTTTTTTTAATCACCGCTCCTGGATACGATTTTTTAAAAGTGTGTCGGCAATAAATGTCCTCTCGTTGATATAGTACTTTGATTACGCTTTAAATATCACTAGTACCCGCTCGGAACCGGGCTGTTTTCGAGAAGCGACTGCATAAAAGATTACCGTTAAAAGTTGCGATTTATTGGATGCAAACGGGTTTTTTAGATTGTACCAAACAGTTTTTATAAAATACTACACAATCTTTTATTCCCTTTCTATACTGCTCGCGTTATTTGCTTATATTTAGACTAACAGTCTTTTTATAGTGGATTAAAATTAACCTGTAGCGCGCATTGTTTCAGATCTGGCGGCCATTCGACGTCTTCTAGATGCCGAATATCCCACGTCTGGTACATGTCCAAGTTGCGAAATGCCGTTCGACAAAGGCAAGAAGAGAAAATTGATAGACAATTGCGGACACGAGCGGTGCTATTCTTGCATGTTCACGAACGAATCCTGCCCTCTTTGCCTGCATAACGGAGTTCCCGCTGCCGATGATGGTATGAAATGTTAATTCGATGATCGAGATTTTTAATCTATTTTGTAGTAAATATAATGCGCAAATTCTAAAAGGAAATTTATACCGACTGTAGTGTGTATAAATACATCCTTTTTATGACTAATTATTTCGGATTAAATAATCCCCTGCTGCATTTCAAGGATGTTTACTACTGTTATTTCGCACATAGTTTCAGATTATTACTTATCTGTACTAACGTAAATGTGTAACTAATCCAAACTCCAAACAAAATTTTACTCGACTGCGAAGTTATTTACCTGCATTCCTTTACAGACGGAACGCTAAAGCCAAATTTAGGAAGTTGTAGACTAAGAAACTTAGATGGCATGTACGAAGAGACGCCACATATGAATAAATCCGAATTAGTGCAACCTCGGACAAAACTCAAGACCAATGGCTATTTCAGCATATTCTCCCAGGTAAAGTTGCCTGTTAGCGCTCGCTAATTAATTCTGACGAACATTGTAATCGTAAAGTTCGCGTTATTCATTACACTGTTTCATTGTAGAGCCGAAATAATTTACACGACAGTAAAGTGGAAGTCGGTCATCCGGAAAAACTGCCGAAAACACGACCGTCGAATTCTCGACATCGGCCTTCGGATCAGAACATCATGACGCAAAGTTGCCCGACTCCCCCTCAAACGAGAAGGAAGTTTTACCTCGGCCCCAAAGCCCTGAAAAGCCCTTTACTAGCCAGAGGCGCTAAACAACAACCGGACTATCCGGCTTCAGGTACGCTATAATTTTATCTATACTCATTAGTTTAAATATCATCACAATAGAGATGCGTGTCTATGAGGTTCTTCCCTCGAATAAGTCTGGATTAATTTCTTTAGCGGCGATGACATCGTCGACGACCTCCACGGAAGGAAAGCATTGGCCGAGTGTTATTTTAGGGAAAATACGATCGCTCTGGAGCGCCGGATCGAAAAGCAACACCGGCCTTAATCAACTTCTATCAGGCAGGGAACCGATTAAAATTTCTGTGTTGTTTTCGGCATGCTTGAGCCTTGCTACATGTGTGTTATTTGCCTAAAAGTTTCGTGATTTTTTTTTAATTTTTGTACTCTCTAACATTTAGCACTTTGCAGCACATCTTTCAATAGCACTTACACAGTGTGATATGTGTAGTTATGATTTAACACGAATTAAAGTTTCAGATAAATTTATTGGAATTTAAACAGTTTAATCACAGAATTTATTTGATACATTACAACCTTTACAAGCCCCGAGGAAAAAATGTAACCATAACTCTTCAACAATTATTACACCTATAAAATTCTTCAATTTTAACGACTAAATTTTATCTAACTTTAATCAAGTAGCTAGTATTAAAATTCCCAAAAAAAAACCCATCATTTATTATACCTAATTCCTTTAGACGACGATTCTCCTCACGGCAAAGCAGCCGCTCCGAAGAAGTCCACTGAAAACGACCTGTACATGCGACTGGGCCTGTTGCTGGGCGAGAGCGCGAAGAAGTCGAAGAAAACGCAGGAGTCCTGCTCGTCGCTGACCAGCTACGACATATCGAGCGTCTTGTCGGCCAACACCAGCCCCGTTTCGACTCTAACGGGCAGCTCGGAGGACCAGCACCGGACCAATCCGAGCTCCGACAGCGTCGCTTCGCTCATGTCCCTGTCCATATCCGGCCAGAGCAACTGCAGTTCCAGTCCTCTTAGCAGAAGGCATAGTGTAACTAGTAAGTTAATATTACAAATGTTGGTACGAGTAGAACATTGGTGGGTTTTTTTGAAGCTTCGCAATCGACTCTCCATGACCAAATCAAGTATAGGAAACCGGGAGCGAAGATAACTAAAGCGGAGATATCGAAGCATTCAGCGGATCATAAAATGCGTTTGAAACAATACGAAGCTCCCCAGCTCACCTTTAAACCTCTGTTTTTCGAGGTGCCCCTCCAAGAACCGGATCCTTTGTTCATCGGACGCCACTGGTTGATCAAAGACATAGAAGACATTATAAGTACGCGTTGAAGTTTCTAACAATATTCTTACTAATTCGTTGGTTTACAGATTCGTCTAGTCCGGGTGTTCTTCTAACGGGAAACCCAGGCACTGGGAAAACGTCTTTAATTCTCCAATTAGTCGAGCACAGTTGTTTCGGTCGCCGGAAGGAGCATCCGTTTGGCCAAAACAACCCGCGCTCGCCACCGCAATCGATCTACTATCAAATAGATTTGATCAACGAGAAAATCAGGAATCTCGCCTCGTCGGTGGTGGCCTATCATTTCTGCCAAGCGGACAACAATTACACGTGTTCGGTGCCGGATTTCATTCACTCGTTGGCCGCGCAGCTGTGCCAGGCGCCGCAGCTGGTCGCCTACAGGGACCATTTGGTCTCCGAGAACGACCTGCAGAACATTCTGGCTCTCAAAGAGTGCATAGCGAATCCCGACATAGCGTTCACGCGGGGCATTCTGGAGCCTCTCTCGTGCCTGAAGCGATTGGGTAAAATCGAAAACGTAAATTGCGTGATTCTCATCGACGCTCTGTGCGAAGCCGAATACCATCGGCCCGACCACGGCGATACGATCACAACATTCCTGCTCAAACATATCCCGAGTTTTCCGGCCTGGTTGAAGGTCGTTTCGACGGTTCGAACGCAACTGGAGGAAGTTACCAAGCAGCTGTCGTTCGCCAGGATATCCTTGGACAGCGTCCAGTCGAACGAGAACCTCCAGAAGGACATATTGGCTTACATTAATTTCAGGATGCAGAACAACTCCGCCCTGCAGCTGGCTACGAGCGTCAAAATCGAGAGCACGAGCGTGTCCCAAAACAAGTTCGCCCAGCATTTGTTGGGTTTGAGCCAAGGGTCGTTTCTGTTCGTGAAACTTACGTTGGATTTGTTGGAGAAAGGACAGCTAGTGATCAAATCCGCCGGATACAAAGTTCTCCCCGTGAATTTGTCCGAAATTTATCTCTTGCATTTCAACTTGCGATTTCCCACCATACGTTCCTTCGAGAAAGTCGCCAATATTTTGAGCGTTTGCTTGGCCGCTCTCTATCCATTGACCGTTCTGGAAATATACTATTCAGTAAACTCCCTGTTGGTCGATAATTTCCTGCCCTGGAACGAGTTCTTGCAGCGGTTCAAACTCCTATCCGGGTTCCTGGTGAAAAGACTGGACAATACTTACATGTTCTTCCACTCGTCGTTCAGGGAATGGTTAATTCGAAGGGACGAAAACGACGCGGTGAAGTTCTTGTGCGATTTACGAAGCGGACACGCCGGAATAGCATTTCGGTAATTAACCAATTAATTCTATAGTAGAATTAATTTAATATCTACTTGGTTTTGTACCAGATTATCTAGAGTACAGACGCCTCTGGATCCGGAGAAAACACTCGAACTCGGCCATCACATTCTCAAAGCGCACGTGTACAGAAGCATGTCATTCCAATCTTTAACATCCAGAGACCTCCAAGCTAAATGGGTGGCGGATACTTCCGAAAATGTATCAGAAGCCGTTTGCAACTTGAGAAACATGTACTGCCCCAATGTAAAAGTCTCCAGGCTGATGCTTCTGGCTGGAGCCTCACCTAACTACATCACCGATCTTCTGGGCAACGCTCCTGTTCTTTGCATATACGCCAACGAAGGTTTGTTTAAAACCATACAAGACAACTAAATTTTCTTAACACATCATTAAACTTTCAGGTATACTCCCCATGGTGTCGTTGCTACTGGAATTCGGAGCCGACGTGGAACTGGCCAACAGCCAAGGATGCACGGCGCTGTCTCTGTCATCGGCCAAAGGCCACTGCGACGTCGTGCGCCAGTTAATAGCGGCGGGGGCTTCCCCGGGACACGCCGACACCGGCGGCCACTGTCCTCTGGTGCACGCGGCCAGGAACGGTTACCTCAACGTCGTCGGTTATCTCCTCGCCTGCGACTGGGTGACCAAAACCGACGACGACATACCGATCGCCGTCGCGGCGCAGCAAGCTCTGATAGCCGCCGCGGGACAAGGCCATTGCGAGGTGGTGGAATATCTGCTGGACATGGCCGAAGTGGATATCAATTCGCCGGACACCATAACCGGTAAGCCCCTGTAAATTACCCTTTAATCGAATGTAATATGGTTTTAACTGATTTCCAGGCGAGACTGCGTTATCGGCAGCTTCTGCCAACGGTTGTCACGGCGTTTGTTCCGTGCTGATCAACAGAGGTGCTGATCCATGCATCACCAACAAGAAGGATTTATCGCCTCTCCTGCTGGCTGTTAAGGAAGGACATTGGGCTATAGCCGAAAGACTGATTCAAAATTACGCTGCAATCGAACAGTGTGACCCGAGCGGTAGATCTCCTCTCATGATCGCTTCAGCCGAAGGCCATCTAGGAATCATCGAGTTGCTGTTAGATAAAGGTATACACCGTTGGAAATTTAATTTCGCATAATAGGGAAATCAATGTTAAATTCTTAACTGGCTGAAATCCAGTCTACCAGTGTAGATTTCAATAGAACGTCGCGATCAATTCTAATAAATTTAATTGTTCTACTGGACCGCACGCCGCGATTTGTAGAGGTACAAAGTTATTTGTGTTAAGTATGAGGTACAAAATTATTTAGAAACTAAATTTAATATTTTTTTGAGGATATTTCAAAAAAATATGTGTATCGGTAGGTACAGTTTTGAAAGAGCAACAAATCTTGTTGAAATAAGGGAAAAAATAATTCAATTTTCTGCTAGAATTATACCTCAGCTCAGTAATATGAGATGACATCTGTATGACAGGTTTGGCTATTGTTTAGCAGAAAGCGGTGGACTATTTTTTAGAGTTCTTTTATTTTCTCTTTTAAAATTATCTTTAAGTTAATTTTTGGAGTTTCCTTTTCATTATTTTCTTAAAATTTACTTTCTTTTTCAAGCCATTGTGGCAAAAAGACATATCTACATAATTCTATTTTAATATTAGTGATATTTTTTCAATAAATTATCGTTTAAATATTCTCATTTCTTTTTAATCGACTCGACGTTCACCCATCCAAACCCGTTTTGATACTGTCGAAGTGTCGAAACCGTCGAAATTATTTGATTTTTAATCTAACCGAACCAAAGCGCGGTGTGAAGTCCAGTAGAACAATTAAATTTATTAGAATTTATCGCGACGTTCTATTGAAATGTACACTGGTAGATTGGATTTCAGACGGCTAAGAATTTAACATTGATTTCCCTATTATGCGCGAATAATTTTCCAACTGTGTATACAATTTTCTTCACCTCTTCTTCGGATAATCAATAATAAATTATAGGTACTGATATAAACAAAGAAGACAAAGAAGGTTTGACTCCGCTGGGGTGGGCCTGCTTGAGGGGTAAACTGCAAGTAGTGCAGTGTCTTCTAGAAAGAGGCGCTTCGATCAATCATACTGATAAGACCGGTCGGATCCCGTTAGATTTGGCTGCTTTTCAAGGGAATCAGGCGCTTGTGCAGTATTTAATCGATCGAGGGGCGACTATAGAACACGTCGACATCAACGGGATGAGACCTCTAGACAGGGCGATAGGCTGCAGGAATCTGCAAGTAATCAATTGCTTCTTGAAGAAAGGGGCCAAATTGGGACCTGCGACCTGGAGCATGGCGCAAGGAAAACCAGACGTGAAGTAAGCTAGATACTAAACTTCTTACCAGTTCTCTACTATTATTTAATTCTAGATTGATACTCCTAAATAAGCTGCTGGAAGATGGAAACGTATTGTACAGAAAAAGCAGATTAAAAGAAGCCGCTCACAGATATCAATACGCATTGAAAAAGTTCCCTACCGAAGATCAAGGCGAACACAACAAACCGTTTCGTCAGCTCAAAATAAATTTCCTGCTGAACTTCTCGCGGTGCAAAAGAAAATTAGGAGTAAGTGCTCGACGCGAATCCTGTGGCGTGTAATTAATGAAAACCTTTGTTGAAACAGGAGCTCCACGAAGCGATCGAACTGGTCAATCTGGTGATTGAGCTGAAACCCGAATCGTACGAGGCCTACTACGCCAGGGCCAAAGCGAAATTGGATTTGAATAAATTCGAAAGCGCTTTGTACGATGTTAAAGAAGCGTTGAATAGAGCGCCGAAGTGCGGAAACGAGCGGAAAATATTGGGTTATTTGCTCGAGGACATCACGACGAGGATGTCGGGGAAAAACCTGTCGAATAGGAAGTATATGGCTGTTTCGGTGGACACGTTGCACGAGTGATTTGGTTCGAAACGAACGTTTAATTACCGATTTGCCAAGTGCCTTGTAATAGAATAAAGAGCTTGGTGGAAATTGGAAATTTTATTCAATATATTTTAGCGCGAATATTGTGTATATAGTAATAAGATGTAGATTAGTAGTTTTTTTTATTTTCTTTACAAAAATCCTCGCTATTTCATTTTTATCAATTTATTATCGTTTTCCATTCCATTTTTAATTTATTGAATTATTTTTAATATGTTGTTTTATATAAATTTTTTTAATAAGAGCATTTTGTTTCGGGAATTTTATTGAAAAATTGGCGACGATATTTGTCCAAAAAATACGTTTTTTTGTTAATATTTTTCCATTGAAATATAGGAAATTTTAAAAATCTCGATTGCTGAAAATTGGAAAAATATTAATACCAAAAAAATTAAAAATTTAACAATACAGTGCAATGCGTGTACGTAAAATTGTTAACGTTTATTTATTATTTGTTGATTTTTGTGTGTTTCTCTATTTGTTTCTTGCCATGATTTATAAATATATACTTGTATAGCCTTATTACATATCTTAATTATATTTATATTGAATGCTAAATTATTTTTCAGTATTTCGAAATCTTCGGTTGTATCTGCGTGAGATTTTTTTTTTCGTTTAATTATGAAAAGACGGTGCTATGTATTAAATAAAATTGGTAAAAGTCAATGCAATAAAATATTATTTCAGTAAAGCTTTTTTGTTAGTGAATCCGAGGAAGTTAATAAAGAACAACGAGCTGAAGAAATGCAAATTCATTTATTCAATTTAGATATCTATCAACACTCTTAATATTATCGAAAAATAGTTAAAATAAGTGAACCCAAAAACTTTTATATTTTAATTAAAAAACTTGTATCCTATGATTTTCTCGATCACAAACTAGGATATGTCCATTCGATGTCATCGCGACGCCTTCTAAACCTTTGAACTCGCCCTTTCCGATTCCCCAGCAACCAAACGCCCGCAGGAACGTTCCATCTGGACTGAAAATCTGTATCCTGTTGTTTCCCGAATCGGCCACGCAAATATAACCCTGATCATCCACGGCCACTCCTCTAGGGAACTTGAACTGCCCTTCGGCGGAACCCTCCGATCCGAACGATGTCAAAACCTTCCCGTTCACGTCGAATATTTGAATCCTGTGATTGTTCGAATCCGATACTACTACTCTGTTTGTGCTCGATACGGCTATGTAATGAGGGTGCTCGAGCTGACCTTCTTTATTGCCCATGGAGCCGAATTTACCAACGAAGGTACCATCTGATTGGAACACCTACAAGCAATTATTCAGTTGCGATATAAATTACTTTTAATGGTATTTCAAATGTTTACCTGTACTCTATGGTTTTCCTTATCGCATACATAGATGAAACCTAAAGCGTCTGTTGTAATACCCCACGGGTAATTGAATCGACCATCTGCAGTACCTTGACTTCCAAACGCTCTTAAAAACCTCCCCGAAGGATCAAACACCTACAAATATTAACAATAACAATAAGAAGAACGTTATAAACGATACACTCACTTGTATCCTATGATTGTATCTATCAGCAATGATGTACTGTCCAATTCTGTTGACTGCGACACCAGCTAGGCAATCGAATTCGCCCTCCTTGTTACCGTACTGGCCGAATTCCTTCAAGAACCTGCCGTTGGCGTCGAACACCTGGACTCGATGATTGGAGGAATCGGCCACGACGATGGTGTTGTCTGGGCCCACGGCAACCCCGCGAGGCCACGTGAAGCATCCGGCTTCGCTCCCCCTACTACCAATTTGAAACAGCTGCTGGCACTTTTGGAGGTATTGACCTCTAGGAGTGGTACCGGCTACCGCCTGGGCGATACCTGCGCGCGAAAACCCAATTTATTGACCTATAAGAAGCTGGAATCTGGAGTAGTACTCACCGACTACCGCTGTAGCTGCTGTAGGGGTAGTGGGGGAGCCTTGCGTGTTTTTTGAATCGTCGTCAGAGCTCGCCAATTCGGTGGAAGATCGCAAGGGGAGCCCCAGAGAGAGCCGACGCGCCGCTCCGGAGCTGCTCGCCGACGGGGTGCTCACCCCCGAAGCGACGTCTTTATCTTTCGCGCCGCTGCGATTGCCGTATTTGTTCTTCAGATACCTCGCCCAAGAGCTCAACGCGGCCCCGTCTTTCTCCGCTGCCGAAGACGCGGACCTACAACATACCAAACTCCTCATTCCACACCAGAAAGAACCGATAAAAAGAGCCTTTCAACAACCCTTACTGCTTAAAATTGTTATCACGCACCTATCGGGCGAGTTGTCCCTGGATTTGAGAGCGTGAGAGGACCGGCTCCTTGCAAGATCGTGGGCGGATGATGAAGAGCCGTATCCCCTGGAGGCCAGGTAGGCGGATGGGTTGGACGAAGTCGGTGAAATCGGCTCCTCCGATTCGTCTTCGTCGCCGAATTGCTGGCTGCTGCGGCTCCTCGCGAGGCGCTGTCGTCGGTCCTTCATCGCCATGTAGCGCGAGCGACTGGTCGGGTATTTGCTGTCGTCGTCTGCCGTTGAATATCTACGAAGAAACTTAATTAGTCCAATAACGGGATGGTTAATTGCGGAGGATGATTACCTCGAGGTGTAGTCGTCTTCTTCCGGTGGTATGGCGGCGGAACTTTTGCTTTTGTTCAAAAATCTGCTGGTGTACCCGTATCTGGTGGGTTCCTCTTCTGCAACGGTGGAAGTCCTGCTTCTAGAATATTTAAACGGTTCCTCCTTTTCTTTCTCTCTAGGTGAAGTGTATCTGTTTCTGCTAGGAGAATCTGCTTCTTCTCTGCTGCGTCTTCTTATATTTTCCACGCTGTTGTCTCGAGCGTTAGCGCTTCTGGCTAGCAGGGGACCGATGTCGGTTTTAGCTAGTTCTTTATTATCAGTTTTTTCAGTCTCTTCGTCGGTTTCTTCTTCGGTTTCGGTTTCTTCCTCGGACGAAGTTTCTATTTCTTCGTCTTTCGGAGGGGTCGGGGCAGTTTTGTTTTGTAAAAATCTGCTTTGAAAGGGCTTAGCCTGAGGGGAAGAAGACGCGTTGCGAGAGGGCGGGGTCGTTTCGACGCGAGAGAGTATTTTCTTTTTAACTTCTTCAGTTGTAAAAGGAGCGCCTGTGGTGCGAATAGCGCTAGAAGATGTTGAGGATTCGGTGGAGGATGAATCTGAACTGGCCGATCTGGTGGTTTTTTTATGACTAGCGTCAGACGGTCTTCTAGTTGTAGGCGCGGGAGTTTTGGTAGGGGTTTTTCTTTGTTGGACTGATACAGATTCTTCCGATTCTTCTGTAGACGATGCGGCCTGAAGGAAAACATTTATGTTAGGATTTTGAAGATCTTGCAAAACATTCTTCATGCAATCAATCACATCAAAAACAAGAAGAAGGTGGGTGTTTTGTAGAAGAATAAACATGCCAGAGTGTGTGATCGAGTACGTAATCTCTTTTTGTCTATATTGTTAATTTTGTGGAAGAAACAAGCAACACTATATGTACATTAATTCTATTCTATAGAAATTGATTTAATCAGGTACTTGAGTAAAGAGGCTATGGTTCGTCTAAACTCACCTCTGGGGCTGGCGTTTTTCTTTGTCTTTCTTCAATAACCGGTCGCGTTTCCGTAACAGTTTCGGTCGAAGTCGATGCCCCTTTATTCTGTTTTTTTATTCTAGATATCTCGTCTTCCTCGCTGACTTGCCTCACAGCGGGAGGAGGAGGCCTTTTCGGCACAACCTTAGGCTCCGGCGGTTTCGGAGGCTCTTCCTTCTTTTTAGTCTTTCCACTCTCGCAATCTTGCATCTTTTGCATGACCCTCGGAGAGTCCGCCAGTCTGGTTATACCACTCAAAGGACCCCTAGTCACATCCTCCGTATCCAACGGCCTTTCTCTTTCTTTGTTCTCGTGGAATCGCACTCTCGGCGTTTGCTCGGAATCCGAGTCGTTTTCAGTGGTTTGATGCCGCCTGAATCTGCTGTATTTCGACCTGGCGGGTCTGGTATCGTGATCGTAATCGTCGCCATAATCGCCCGATCTACCGTATCTGCTGGTAGTTTCCGCGGTAGGTTTGGACCTGTCTCCGAACTTCCGACCGCCCAACATTTGATCGTCGTCCCCGTAGCCCCTTTCGCCGTAACCCCTTTCTTCCTGCTGCCTGAATTGCGAGGCCAGTCGATGGTCGCTTTTGGATCGCATCAGGCCCGGCCCCGGCGGTTGCAACAAGCTCGACGATTGCCCGAACACCGAATTGGCGTTCGTGATGTTCAAATCGCCGAATCCCGCGACGTGCAAGACCAGCTGGTTGGGATCGTGCGCGAGCACCAATCGCACTTTTCTGCTGTAATCGGAATTCTCGTATTCGAAGTTTCGGATGAATTCCACCGTTTTGAGGAATATTTCTTTGGCGTCCATCAGTTCGCAGTCGTCCCAAATGTCGACGTTTTCGTTCATGTGCTTATCGGCCAAGTCGCAGTTGCTTAGAATGTTCGATATTTCTTGTTCTAAGTTCTCTTTTAAAGTGGTCAAGCTTCGTAGTTCGGTGCTTAAGTATCTATCTAATTCGCCTCGTAGATATTCCGTTCTGTCTTTGAGCGCTTTGTTTAATCTGCGGTAGATTTCTTCAACTTCTTCACCTACCGATAAGCAGTTGGTTTGTATGTTTTGCGAGTTTTTCTCCACCAACGCCAGTGTGTCTTGTAACCTGTGAATACCGCGTCTTATTTGATTGTTAATTCTAGATATTTCCCTTCGCAATATTTCCATGTGTGCACCTGAAATACGCCGTTTCGATGTAGTCCTCGCGGTGTAAATAAATTCGAATCGTAATTACCTTTGCATTCCTCGCAAATTTTCTTATCGCAGTGGCTGCAGAAACTGCAATAGGCCTTCTCCGAGCAAACGTTGCACCTCTCCATAATCTGGCCGCTGGTGGGATCCGGTAGTTCCCCGGTGATCTCGATGTGCAGCTCGAGGAATCTTTGCAAGGTGACGTTCGTGGGGAACCCCTGCACCCCGTTGTATGGGATCCTGTGCTCCGCTCGACATTCCGGGCATTTTACCTGCGATAGAATTATTTTGTTAGTTTATTTTATTAGTTTATTAGTTTAAACGTGAGCTTACTTGTCTTCGTACGTAGTCAACCAAACCCTCTAGACAGGGTTCCATGCAGAAGCTGTGCTGGCATGGTAGAAGTTTGGGGTTCCTGTACCGGTCCAAGCATATGGCGCAAGTTAGCAATTGCTCAAATTGTTCCATTTTTAATCTGCAAGGAATTAAAGATGGTACTAAATAAATGTATAATGTTCTAATCTGCATAAATATCTTTCATCAAATTCGTTAAATTTTGATCTAAAAAAGATCGGAGTCCATTCAAAGAGTGCCAAAATTTTTCAAGATAAATACAAAAATAGTTCATCTATAAATTTAATTAAACCGTGCATGCAGAATATCCATTTTAAACTAAAAATTAAGTGCTCAGGTAAACGTCAAATTACTCAAAAAAAATACAACGAATCAACGACGAAAATACATTTTCGTTCAAAAAAATACATCAGTCATTCGCGTTGGAAATGATTTTCTAGAAAACCGCGTTTCAATGACGAAAACAAATCTTTGTTCATGATCACGGGTTAATTATAGAACCCGTGTTATAAATGAGTGTAGTTTCCAGATTTAGAGTAGGCAGATTCGACTAAGGCAGGTCTATTGATCCAAAAAATGTCTGGCCATTCGGATAATATTTCAAAAGGGGCATTCGTAATTAAATTCCCGTGTACCTAATCAATTATTGTAGCGCCATTAAATTCACGAAATATCTCATCGAAATGAAATTGGGGAAATTTTTAATAAGCACGCATCGCCAACACACAAAAGCGTTTATAAACTAAATGTATTGTATAAAATTCGATTGCAAAATAAAGTGAGTTTTTTTTTATATGGGTTAAATGTACACTACGAATTTTATTCGCTTTGTAGACTTAAGGGTTAATAAATTCTAATATCCTTGAACCAATCCAGACGGAATATATTTTTGGCAAGAAATATCTTAAAATGCACCAACACGCCTTGAATTTAAATGCCACGCATTGTTTATGAGTCGCCTTTTTTGGAAAATGTCTCGAATAATTTGAACTAAATTAAATCATGGCTTGAAAAAATGATAAAGCATTCTTCTAGCATGTAATAAAGTAAAAAATTTTGAACAGTGAATAAGCAAAACTAAATAAAAGCCACACATTTTCTAACCCTTTATAGAACACTTCATAAGTAAGTTCATCCGATAACTCCAAAGCAAGTATCACCAATACTTCCAGTAAATATCACTAAAATTTTAGAACAACACGCCAATAGATTAGATTCAGTATTCTGATCAAACAAAATAGATTTTCTCTTTTGTTCGTCTTTCTATATATTAACAGTTTTCGCGCCGGTCTGTTAAAAATAACTGCTGGTTAATACACCGCGTTAAGTGAACCTTCTAAAATTAAATACTCCAGTATACTAAGAACTTACTGTATTTTCTCGAACGTATATACAGCGTATTAAAACCAAAAAATCCCGAAAATTGGAAGGAAATTCGCTTCATTGACGTCAGCGTACGATTCACAACTTTAGAAACGTTTTCCTACTCTTTTATCAAACCTGGATAAACCTGGACATTCCAGGTTTAGAGAATTAGAAAAAATTCAATTTTTTGGTTTATATTATTCATAATAAACACTACTACTAGTAAATATAGGTATAGGTGGTTTTTATAGAGAATATATTCTTTTAATATCTTTGGTCAAATTTGGCATTTTTCGAATTTGTTTTGCGCCTAACACGAAAATAGCGCAAATTGGTTTCTAAAAATTTTTGATTTAGCGATCTCCTATAATTGGATTTTATCAAAAATATCCATGACGAAAGTTTATTTTATTACAGGTAAATTTAGAATGAGTTTATAGGCAGGAGGAGCGGCTGGCGGAGAGAGGAAAGAAAAGCTATTTTGTATTTCACGAGGTTGAAACCCACTTGTCTGAAAAAACAGAATGTGTCCCGATTTTTGAAGGTTTAACAACCTTCAGTGGAATGTCTCGGATTAGCGATAAAAGAACATAAAGAATCCTTTGAAGTATTTTGTTGTATTAATCTAGATTTATACAAAAATAACGTGCTCATTTTTCGAAAAACTACCTATCTGCTGGTACATATAATTTTCACTCGAAACAAATATTTTTCACTATTGTTAACCCCTTAAAATATACAGTGTGTTTTTCATAAATAATATGAAATTGTCTACAACTAAAAATATAAAATACTAAAAGAGACATAACTACAATAGAAAATGATTAAAATGTATTTTTAAAATTCCGATTAATTTGAATAATTTCAGTTTTCAGGTGTTGCCAAAATTTTATTTCGAGCGTAATGTGTAAATAAATGTAAAGCATTTAAATACATGTAAATAAACTACACTTTTTCCAAATATTTTCATCGGATTATCCTGATTAGATTCCTGCAATTCTTGCATCATAGATATAAAGAATTCCTGTCACAATTATTTCTTAACAAATGGACCATTAAAAATATTTTTAGCATCTGTTGCAGCATGAACTTTTAATATACAAATTTTTAGGTAGCATCTATGTATAAGATTATCGTGGAAAAACTACAGAACTCCTCAAACGATAAGGTAAAAAAATTATGATCATAAAAACTTACCAAAAGGTTTTCGTTTTTAATTTAATCCGAGGCCCCCGAGGGGCTTTTCGATGGACTTCAGTTCAATGGCGAGTCGAACGAAAAATCTGCAAAGACATTAAACGAATGCATCAATCATTCTATGCGCCAGATTTCGTCGGTTTACATGCACCGCTAATGGCGAAAATCCTACTGAAAATATTCGCTAATTTTCCAAAATTTTATATTTATTTTTGCAGCGATGTATCACCGCCGAATTTTTTTGTCAATACTCACAAAAATATTTTTAACCGATTAATATTCGCAAGGCGTAGGTAGCAAATTTTGGAGATGATTGTGACACTCAAAAAATAAGTTTTCTACTCCTTTTATTTTTTATAAATATTTTAAAATTTTCCCGTTAGAAAGAAAGTATTTAAACGTTAAGTACTCAAGAAATTTTTCATATTTTTTTTAAATGGTTAGTTAATATGAAGCCAATTTAGCAGACGGGTGTATTTTTAAAAGAAACAATTCGAAAGAATCCGCACACATTTTGGCAATCGACTTACTTTTAGATAAGCACTGAGAATTAAGTATGTCACGACTGAAAATAATTGTGGCTTTTCAATAGCAATTTTTCAATAAATCTTCGACCGGTGGAAACGAATACCATCACTTAACGGTGCAGTCATATCGACTACGAGTCTATACATACGAAATTATTTCCTACTAATATCTGAATCACTTGCCAACTTTGCAAGTGTTTAAATAGATTTGAGACTATCAGAAACGCTTTTTGGGATCTCGCTCGGACGTGTGCGTACTTTGCACGCTATCTTTGTAACAGATACAAGCACAATTGTCTTTCTCCGAGTTTCCAGTGAATGGTTTATTGTTGCGAAGAAGCGAATTTGTATATTTACAGAACAAAAGGGAACAACAGCGCCTGGAATTATTCCTATTCATTGTCCTAATTTCAGTTGGGAAGGTGCTGAAAATAGTCCGGTAAAAATTTAACCAAGTACCGTTAAATGACACTCAAATTAAATAGAGATATGTATTTTTATTGATAAACGAGTTAAAAGTAATTACAGCACAAAACGATCGTGTATATACAAGGTGTAGAAAAGATTATAAAAAATATTAGGAAATTTATATACGTACGATTAAAAAGTCGGTTAATATAAAATGAATTATTTCAAATAGTCTTATAAATTATGAAAAAAACGATTATGGCATCTAACAATTTTTTGTAACAAAGAAGTTAAGTACAAAGCAAATGTGTATAATATATAAATAAATGTTGAAATGTTTTGTGATTGTCTTACATTACTTAAAAAAGGCAGCAAAGGCGTAATAAATAAAAATTAGAGACGATAAAATTGATAATATGGGAATAAAGAACAATAGAAAATTCAGAATACAATAAATGAAAGTATTTAACCTGGATTTAAACGAAATTTTCAAATATAATTGACATACATTGAAATAAATATACAGATAAGTGCAAATTTGTACGCAATATGGTTTATGGGTACAACAAAGACAACTCCCTTTAGTCATAAAGGAAAAGAAAGAGTGATATTGTGGGATAGCAATTTTCTCACTCTAACCATTGTTATTTTAATAATCTTTCTCTTTTCAATTTGAAGAATTGCCAGACCATATTGCAAACAAATTTGTACTTACACATATAAACATTACTTACAAATTTAAAATCCAAGTATAGGAATGGAATGTTTTCAGAAATATTCACAACCTTAAATTACTTATAATCGAAAAAATAATTTACGTTTATCGTGTTAAAATAAATTAAAATAATTTATATCGCTTCTGTATCCAAAAGCTGCGAGATAAAAAATAAATAATTGCGATATTTACGGTTTAACCCCATAAATAAAGAAAAATTAAAATCCTCTAAGATATTCAGAATATCACATACATTAGCAGGTATAACGTTACAATTTCTTAATTAAATTCAATTATATAATAGTATTTTGTTTCAATCGTGCAGTGTTAATTTGTAATTGAAGCAAACGATATGAGTCACTAAAACAGTTCATTATACAATTCGAATTGACTACGTTTTCTAAGTCGTTTTAAATTCTGCAATTCTATAAAAAAAATGCCACTGACTACATTTTTAGAAATTCTTTTTAAGAATATATTCACCACTTTTAAAGTAGGCGAGTGAATTCGATAGCTGCAACTTCGCGTCAATGTACAAAGCAGAATACAAAGCATTCTTATATTAACTAGGTTCATTCACAACCGTTTGCTTAAAAACTACCTAATTATATAATACTGAATTTTCATTATCGTAGCAAAAAATATTTACTATTCGTTTAGGAAAAGAATACAAGAATATACAAAAGAATCTCGCACAGTTTGATCTATGCAAATCAATAGTTTATGCATAAACATTTTTTGTTCCGAAGAATTTGTTCAAAATAAATAGAGCAAATTTAATAAATTTTGTACGTAGCGCAACATTTCATAAAGTTGCCATAAAAAGTTTTCACTTTATCAAACTATAAAATTTGTTATTAAAGCTTTCAATATTGTCATGTAAAGAAGAATTTACGCCAAACTGTCTTAATGGCTCATTTTACACAAGTTTTAACGTTGCAATTAATAACGAATAGTTAAGCGTAACTCTGGCTGTGCTCCAGCGAATAACTCGAAATCTTCGTCCCTTGTTCGACCCAATTCTTTAATTTACCCCGCAACTCCTCCAAACTCTTCGACTTCGCTTTGTTGATCCTCTTGTACTTCACATCCTTCGGCTTCATGACGGATCTATGATTGGACATCACTCGATTGTACTTTTTCACTTGATTTTTCGAGTTCTCTTCAGTCCCTTAAATCGATTAACATCACGAAAACAATCAAGAGAGTAGCAAAAATTACTCACCACCGTCGGATTTCTCCGAATTGCCGGTCCACGATTTCTCCGACGCCGCGTTCTCGCACAATTGACTATTATTATTGCCTACATCATCTCCTATCGACTTCTCTTTTGCGCTCTGGCTTTGGTTGTGACTGCTCGAATTCAATTTGCCGCCTCTGCTCGCGAACGATTCCCTCCTCTTGTTGGCGTCCATTTTGCTCTCCTGGTCGTTATCGATGTCCTCCTCGACGCTGTAGACGGTTTCCAAAACCTCCGGGCGCCGCAGGAAGCAAGTGTTCCTTCTCATCGAAGAGTATTTCAAATTTGGATCGATGGCGTCCGATATAGATCTACGAAATTAAGGCGATTTAATTATTAGAAAAGTCATAGTAGTTTTCAGTTGCTGAAAATATTCATTATTTTAGGAAATATAGCCTTTTTAAATTTAAAATTTTGACTCGTGACGTGTGACAACAAAGTGAAATGTGACATCAAATAAATGACAGTGACAGACGACATATCTAGGGTAGGGTGATTTTATTGTAGTTTCTAGTTTTTTGGGCCAAAAATAAACACTTTTTTAGAATACAATAAAGAATTTTCACAAAACGACGTGAAACAAGTTTTAACCACCTTCGTATGCGATGCGACATTTTAAAATTGTATAAGTTGATTTATGGCGTTTTCCATTGGTTAAATAGTGCGCACTGAAAGTGCACTCAAAGCAAAATTTTTGTTTCATTTGGTGCACTTTGCGAGTGTTTTGACTTCCATTGGCAATCTGGCCACCAAAAAACACTTTTGGAAATCAAAACACTCGCACAGTTCACCAAATAAAACAAACATTTTGCTTTGAGTGTATTTTCAGTGCGCACTATTTTACCAATGGAAAACGCTATTAGTTATATGTTAAGTTTTTGTTTTTATTAATTTGACAAGTTTAAAAAGTCAAAAGTTCGATGATGCCACATTACCACTTTTACTAAACAATAATTTAGAATTTAAGATATTTACAGTAATTTGTAAATATAAACATATTATATTATTTAACAATTATAAGTTCGCTCTATATTTTTCGAACAAATCATAACTGTATAAAGAAATACAAAAAATAAATTATAGCATACATACAAACAAACGCTTTTTTTAGAGTAAGAAGATTGACAACGTCGCTAAAAACGATCTTTATCATCAATTCTTAATTGTGATTGGTTAATGACATTTGTGACATATTTCAAACGTCAAATTTCACCAATGACTTTAAAAGAATATGTAGTTTCATTAAAAAAAAAATAAAAAAAAGTAGTACTCCTCTCCATTACCTCATAACAGTGACACCATCCACGTTCCTCAATCTGGATATGTGATATGTATTTTCGCAGTCCATGTCCTCCATGACGACGGCGCTGTCGGAGTCGTTCAAGGAATCGAAGTCCGAGAAGGCGAAGTCGAGTTCGGTGGCTTCGGTTTGAGCGGGTACTTCTAAGCCGTTGTCATGCAATCGGCTGGTCAACGTCTCGATGATTTTCTGCTGGCGATGGATGATCGTTTCTCTGATATTTAGCATGGCCGATATGTCCTTTTGTTTGCGGATCAGTCTTGACTCGAATAGGAGAAGCTTTGAGCTGAGGGCCTTCAGTTGATCGCTCTTTTCTCGCTCGATGCGGGATATCATTATCTCCTGCGAATTTGAATGTTTAGATTGTTGTTTAAGCTGTATAGGAGTGTTTCCAAATGAATATTAAAATATTGTAAGCGCTATAAAAGAATGTACTGCTACATTTAAATGTGGGAATATGTAAAGAATAGGTTGTTTCAAGGCGAGTTTCTCGGCTGTATTATTTTAATTGGTGATGGGCATTAAGCGAAGTTTGTTTAACTCACTTGCATTCTGTACGCCTTTCTCCACGCCATTATTTGCTGAGCTTGCGATCTGGTTTTCTGCCTCAGATCTCGTACTAATTTTTTAGCTTCTTCTAGATTGTCCACTTCTAAAGCACTCGACATTTTCGGGGATTTGTTAAATACGGTGGCTGGGTTCTAACTAGTCGGAGACCTCAAACATAAATCGAAATTTTATTAACAATTTACTCCTTTAATTTTCGTTAATTACAACTGTAATTTCTTTCAAGCAATTAAGCGTATGAGAACGTACTTATAAAGACAAACAATTTATCTTTTGATCTTAAGAAATATTTTTACCTGATGGTCTCTACATTTAAACAGTTAACATTTAAATGAAGTAACTGTCTTTGTTTGGGTATTATAAAACACTTTCAAGGCTGACCGACTCTTAAAAATTCTGCAACCCATATGTTACCTTATTATACAATGCCTCCCACACGGGAAAATATCATAAAATATGTACAATAAATGAAAATGAAGCCGTAACACTGAACATTTTTGACACCGAATCCAATACCTGCTTAATAATTATTACGCGTTAACTAGCGTTAATGCTCAATTAACTTACCTGGTAGTGTTTACTGAAGAAATATGAGAAGACATCCAATTGCTCCGCTATTACAACTGCATATTTCTCGGTAATTTCGCAACCATTCATGTTATCATTTCCAGTCCTCTTTGGGAATTATCATCGAGGGGACAGGTGAGAAAAACTTCACCAACACACGCAATGGGGATTCGGTTACTACATTTACAACACAACACACCTGACTTCTAATTGTGTTGTCAGAAAATGAATACAAAAAAAACACAAATACAATACGGTGTTGTTGATTACTACACTGTTGCCTTGCCTGTTGAATATCATCAAATGTCAAATTTTCAATTTGACACTAGTCGATAAAAAAGAAGATCAAATGTCATAATTTGTGGATCAAACGGTCTTTGATATTGAAGAAAAGCAGTCACCTTACATAATAGGACTAAAATTCAACAAAAATAAACAAAATATACCTTTAACTATTTATTTTTAATGAAATTAATAAAAATACAAATGTCAGCTTAAATATTTTAGACTAATTCATCTAAACCAGGTCTTTGATTGTTATTAAATCTCCTGGGCCTAAAATTACGGTTCGGTCTTGGCTCAAATTTATCATACCTTGGAACGAAATGCTTTTTATTCACCATGCCGCCTTTAATTTCTTGACAGAGCTGATCGTTAATACTCTGTAACAAAATAAATGCATTACAACCGTAAAATAGACAAACGTACGATGGGCAAAATGTACCACTTAATCAAACCACTTCAAAATAGAGTTATTTATAAAATATTATGTTGATTAAAACTGTAAAAATATTCATACCGCATCCACAATTTGACCATTTTTTTCAAGCATCCGCTCAATTCTATCGAACTCCTCAGTGACAGTTGCCATGTCCAGCTCTGCCACTCCCTTCTTAACCTTGTCTATAACCTCCCTGTTAAAAGTATGAACTTGCCCTTCAGGCAGGTCTTCAGCGAAAACGCTCTTCATAATGGGAATTACGTTTTCTATTCTGCCTATGTCCACCAACGAGGCAATCTGAAAATACTCATTCGAATAACCAAATACATAAAAAAATTACATTAATACGAACCTTCAAGTTCCTTACAGTAGTATAACTCTGATTTCTTGAGGAACTCAGAATCTCCAGGGCAACACTCGGATTGCCTTGATTGTAAGCCAGAGCGGCACAAAATGTAATTGCTCGTCTCATCGGAATATGACCGACATCGTGTAACTCTTGCCAGAATTTTAGCGCGTAATCCAGGCTTTCCTTGTTGTTCTAAGGCAATTTTTAGTATAATATTGTAACTGATAATTAACGTACATGTACTTACTAGTTTGTAACAAGCAGCCATAGTCAGGACTACAACATTTTTGGGATACCTGACACCTTCTAATTGCTTCTCTTTTATGAATTGGAAACACTCCAATACTTCATTGTACTTTTCGTTTTCGTACAGCAGATCTAACAGTAATTGGTAGGAGATAATTTGATCGAAAAAGCCATCCAATTCCGGAGATTTGAAACACTAAAATGATGTATTATGTATATTAAACGTTTCGATTTAAGCTAATCGAATATTAATAATACCTCTAAAGCTAAGTCCGCTTTGTTGTGGTGATGGAATAAACGCATTACAACCGGACCGAATATGAAACTCCCGAATCGTAACTCTTTGTTTTGCTGGTTAAACCTACAATGAGAAGAGAAAAGTAATGCAAACTGAATAGTTAAACATTCAAGCTTACTTTTTAATCATTTTAACGACTAAATCAATATCATTGTCGTTCTGCGATATGTAAATCATGTTTTTTAAATCCTCCGTGAATACCATAGCATTGTTATCTTTCTCTATGAAATCAGACATTTTTTCCTTGAATTTGTCTCCCATATTTTCCAGTTGTCTCTGCGTTGTTTGACTTGCCTGCAAGAAGCCATCCAAGCCCAAAGAAGCATGGCTGTAAAGCAGTCTTACGTCTGTAAATGAATCTTTAGAATATAACGTTAGTTCATTTAACGAAAACTTACTTTGTACATTTAATGTTGACCTAATGCAGTGGTTGAGTTGGAGGGTTTTTTGAATGTGAGCCACATTTGCGGGTTTCAAATTATTCACCAATTTTGTAACGAACATTTTTTTTATTTTATATAAACGTATATTACAAATGTAATGCGGTTACAACTTTTTCTAGGTTAGAAAAGGTTAGAATTGTAAATGCTTCTTTTTTATTAGAACTGTCAAAAGTCAAATTTGTGACTTTACTTGTACTAGCATACCAGCGACTTAACTCTTTTTTGTACAGAGTGGCCCAAAATTAATATACACAAAGTATAATTAAAAAGTCCTATTCTATCTTTAATGGCAACATAGGTTATATATCTTTTACAACAGTTTAAAAAAACTAGAATTTAGTCCCTATATTTTACGAATGAGTATTTCAATTTCTCTATTTGAAGACCTAATGAAAGTAAGAAACGCATATAAAAATAATACAACCAAATGAATACAAATACTTGAAAATGTGTCAGGAGATTAAACAATGGATAAACCCAATATCCTATGAAGAACCTCGAGGACACAAATCTGAAATGAAAAAAAAAACAACCATTAATAATCATTCTTAAATAAATCAGAATTTATTAAAATTTAATTAGTCTATAAAATTCTGCATACTTACAATATGTGATAAATAGAGAAGGTAATGTTAAATCCACGAATTGAAATTTTTGGTTTTTTGGGGTAGCGAATTACCAAGCTGGTTTCTACAAACGCAAAAATCAGAATCCAAGAATGCAACGAATGATTTAGCCAGGACGGGAAGGTTTCTTCGCAGGATTTTGGAAACACGAATTCTGGTTCGATTACGTATAGTCCCCAAAACATCGTAAAAACCAATATAGAGAAAGGGAAAATTCCTCCGGTGTAAATATGATTTAAACAATTGTTCAATGTTCTCTGTAATTTTGTTGGCGATACTGATAGTACTTTTAATAGGTCGTAAAGTACAGATAAGGAAAAGTATATTCCTTGGGTAGCCTAAAAATATATATTATTTTTATTCTAAAGAGATAATTGAAAATACTGGAGAAAATTGCAAGGATTCACTGAGCTCCTACAAAGATATTATTGTGATGAATTTTTCCAGTAATATAGTAAGCAATAACAAGAGTATTTTTCTATATAGTTTCATCATTTTTATTGTACCTACTTACAAAGTTCCACGGGGTAAAATAAACTGGAGCGTAAGTTAACATCATTTTCGCTGCTGGATCCGTTATTTTAGATTTGTCCATTTTTGCCAAATAAACCATAACGTAAAGATGGTGCGCACAGACAAAAACGTGAAATAGTAGTCTAAATAAATTTAAGAAAGTAACGTTGGTTTTTAGTTGTTTTCCCAATCGTTGTTTCTAAAATAAACGTAAGGTACCAGGTACCTAAGTTATATTGATTCTGGAAGAAAATAATCGATAGATAACCAATATACACTTTAGAATGGAGTATGGTTGGGGATAGAATCCATACGAATTTTGTAAAATAAGCAATTCTGACATTAACCAATTATGTATTAATAATCTTAATAGTGTATTAAAAATCTTTTAATATGACTACCTATCAAGATTGAAGATATATCGTATGCAATATAATTTATGCATATACTATACTCGTTTATTTGTTCGAAACTCCCAAAATAAGTTAAAAAATGCTATAATTTTCAGAAAATCAAAAATGTAGGGAATTATTAAAAATTTTTAATTAAGATTAAAATAACGATTCTTACCAATAGCGCCGTTAGTGCACAAATTGCAACAAGAAAAATCAGTTCCATAATTCTCTCAAATCTTGCACAATCTTCTAAACCTCAACTGCCAATGAAATAGGCAATATTTTTTAAGTTTTTTTATATAGTAATAAGTTAAATTATATGTTTATATGCTGTTGAAATGTTGGTATATACAGTGTGTCTTTCAATTACAGAGAAATACTTGTAACTTAATCGAGAAAAATAGAGGAAAATGTATCTTATATTCTCTTTATATTTCTTTATATTTTTATCCCAATTTCAAATTGGGACACTTTTCAATGAATTTATATTGTTAGTTTAATATTATTTTTGGCTTTACTATGCTCTTCCGAGGTATTTTTATAGTTAATTAAGAGACAACCTCTATAAAAAATGAATAAATTAAACTAATTATGTAGGAAACGGATTTTTTATAATAAAAGTAATTAAGTATAATAATAAAGTATTTAAATAAATAAGTAGGTTAATAAGTTTAATACCATAAAATATTAGTTAAATAAATAGATAATAAAAAATTTTACGCGCTTGTTAATATATTTACTTGTGCATAAAAAAAATAATAACCAAAACAAGCAAACCAATTAAATCTTACCCATCATTTTTATAACATATTTGCCTATTTGGCACTCTTATTTTTTACCCACAACATTAGTAATTAAAATAATTATTTACCTTCTATGTTTTTTTCTAAAATCAGTTTTTTTATATTTATTTGTAGTTTGCATTTTGTTACTATTTCTTGATTTTTGTGATGAAAATATCTAAAAAGCCGGACAAGAATGACTGACAGCTATTCAGTTAAAATTTTGTCACTTTCAATCACACGCTTCCTATCTACAGATAAATTTAATACTAAAAACTTATTGGATCCTCTTTCATGATAAGGTATAATATTCCCTTGAACGGCCCTGAAATCCTGGGCCTACTCATTTCCTTTTCATTACACAAAAATTGTTTGTAAATTTTATTGCATTTATTTTTAACTTCAGAGCCGAATTAAGAAAGAAAAATTCTATATTTATGCAATCGTTTTTTTATTTTATAAATTTTTGTAGGTATGGGGTAAGGGAATTAGTAAAAGTTCTTTTTTTATTAACATCTTTTTATTATACGGTCTTGATAATAAATCAGTTTTAATAAAACTAAGTAGGTGTATGTAAGTAAGGATCATTCATATTTTTAAATCGCAATTTAAAGATCGTTTTATACATATAACTTCCTTTTTAATCAGGATGATATGTTAATGAAAAGGTGTAGCATAACATCTACTTAGTTCCTTATTGTCGAAGTACTCGTTGCGTAACTAAAAAATAATTAAATATAAAAAAGTCAATAGGTTTTTCAATTAGCAAGTATTCAGTTTTTTAATTAGGTAATACATAACGGACCAAAATAATACAATTATTAATTAGGAGTACATAACATAAATGTAGGATATCAGCTATACCTACTAGAAATTGAGTTTTACGATATTTTCCATACACGAGTATGAGTAGTTATTTACTAAAAATCTAGTATTTTCGGACAACTAATTATTTCCATCTAGATATTCTAAAGAGGTAAAATACTGATTAAGCTACATCATTTTAATGTAATCAGAATTCGTGAAAAGGTAAAATTTATATCTTGTAACTATTATGACAATTACAAATACATGTACAAATTAAATAACAACAATAAAAAAATTAACAATAAAAAATAAATTACAAATATTTGATTCCAAACAAAAGCCTTTCGATATTCGATGTACATTTTCCAATTTCGATTAAAAATAGGCTACCCACGCATAAATGAATACACTCATATTCTTCCTCAGCCATACAAGTGTAGCGTACATAAGCAAAATAATATACCTAAGAGTCCCGTTGTACACAGTTCGACATTTCCCCGTTACCACTATCACTGTTCAAAAAACTATCGTCATTATCACACGTTCCGCGTTTATCCAAACTCGCATCTTTCTGCATCAGGCTTATTTCGCTGTACGAGGGCGGAAAATCCGGAAAAACGTCTTCGTAGGTAGGCGGCGGCACCCCCAAAGACGTGGGCGAAATGCCCTTCGAAGCTTCGCTGGAATCGAGAATGCTGGACGAGCTGCCGAGTTGCCTTTGGGCGCGGATTAAATCGGCGCTGATCTCCATCAGCTCGAATTCCGAGTGCAGGATGCTCCGGTCCACCACCAGCATCCTGCCGTTGGGCAGGAGGATTACTGTTGGGGTACAGGCTTCTTCTGTTCGTGAATCTGCAACGAATTACTGACCTCAATAAACTTCTAATTGGATAGGTAGTGAAGAGACGATTAATATTTTTAGTAGACGAATAGGTCATATTAAAAATAACACAGGTAACTGGAAATTGCTAGAAGATTAGGAAGCGAGAAATTATCTACATCGTATCAGCCGTTTTTAGAACTACATGCTAGTCACACGCCCACGACCTTTCCAGTAAATATGAGTTTAATGAGACACGATATAGTTCATCCAACTATTTTAAATAGCAGACAAGAAATATTAGTGCAGGTATCTTATTAGAACTTTCAACTGGAATCATATAACGCTGGGTATTTTGATATTTTTAGCCGTTACCCTTAAATTTCTAATACTAAGTGTAATCGAACATTCTCTGGATTAGATATAAACATTTTATTATTGTTAAAAGCAAGTATCGAAAGGTTTGTGATTAAATACATTGTAAATACCGTTAAATACCTATTCGCTTAATCTAATTATACACGGACTAATTTTAGTTAGCTCATTGTTCGGTTTTAAAACAAAATAAAAACTATTTACGATTACATCTTTAGTTGCCTGCTCGGGTATTTTTATCGTAGACTTCGAATGCTTATTTTTATATCATCAATTCTTCTACCATCTCAATTATATTTTTACATGATATGTTTACATTATCGTTCGAACACTTACCATAGGTAAGTTTCCGCAAAAAAGATTTTGAATTTTTAAAGGATAATAGTTCGATAAAAAATATAGAAATGGAAAGGAAAATGTATAAAAAACAACAAGCCTATTTAACATGATTATTTAACCAAAGTGGTTTGAGAAGTAACAAAATTATAAAATTGGGAAAATACTGTTCTGAATGCATTTTTCCGCTTAATGAACAAACGGTTAAATCAGACAAATACATCAAACACAAATTTTGGTATTAAAGTACAACATTAGGTAAACAGTAAGCTTCAAAGGCATGGTTATTCAACAATTAAGCTCGAGTGGGGCAAATATTTTACCTTCTGCTTTAGTTCGTTTATTTCTTTAATTTCGTCCCTTGTGTCATAGCCGTAGCGTCTTGCGAAGACTGAAATATTTTGAAACAGTTTTAAATAAAATATTGTAGAAATATAAATACTCGCAAAAATGTCACAAACTGGATGGAAACTAATAATTAATAATGTTGGTCTTCTGTTGTCTGTTGGGTAAATCATTTATTCAAAATAAATATTTTGTAGTAAGTGTATACAAATCTCCCTAAATTTTAAATATTTATACTTTCCTCCTAGGACTATTTTTCGATGCACCATCCACCTACCATTAATATTTCATAAAGTATAAGAGCAATACTTTAAAATTTTCGCATGTCTTATATTCATTTATTTTACGTGTTAGGTATACTCTTTGATGTAAATGAAGAAATGTAAGCATGAACAAATAAAATTCAAACCAAACCAAACCACACCGTGTCTACTGGCTACTGTTTTGCGTGTTACCTTTCGTGTTATTTGATTTAATTCGTTTACTTCGCGAATTTCATCTCTCGTATCGTAGCCGTACCTTCTGGCGTATACTGAAACATTTCAAACGTTTAATGCTTCGCTTTTCCTGCGTTTTAAACGCTCCGGTTTTGCATCAGGAACGCGGTCATCTTCCTTATATACAATTTACTGGAATAGAAGTAAATAAAGGAAACCACGACTCACCGTTGTCTATGTTAGGATCGTTTCCCATGCACCTTCGAAAAACGTATCGTTTGCACATCATCCTCACACCAGGAGCAGCGAAACAGCAGAACAGGATAATGATGAGTAACACTGCTATCATAACAATGAGAGTGGCCATGCCCTGAGTGTTTGAGCTACTCGTGCTCTTTGAGACTGGAGGTGAGCTGTTACCTATAACAAAGCGGTTATAATAATTAATTCAATGACTTATGACAGTGATGTTAAAATTACTTTATAATATGTAATTAATTACAATTACTTTTGGCAGTTTGTAACTAATTGCAATTATAATTACAATTACACTCACAATTACTTTGCTTTGGTGTCAGTTTTAAATAATTATTTAGGGATTTGCAATCGGAAATAAACTTTCCAAGTATTGAAAATATTAAATAAGTACTTTTGTGTCCAATGTAATTGAAATGTAATTGTAAAATGTAATTGTAATTGTAACGAAAGGAGTAATTTAATTACAAATGAATTACAATTGAGGAGCTTGTAATTAATTACCGCCTCAATTACAATAAAAGTAATTCAATTACTTTTTCAATTACTTGTAATTAATTACTTAACAACACTGAAAATACCCATCTAAGTAAAATTTAGGATGAGTTGTAGGAAATAATTGGGAGATTGAGTAAAATAAAATGAGGGAAAATTGTAAAGCGCAACTACACCTAGTTAATTAGAACGTAAATTATGTCGAATTTGATTTACCTATAAACAAAGAACAAAGCTGAGAAAATAAACTGGCCTATCCATGAATGAAAACAAACCGCGTTTGATAAATTTCTAAGAAAAAATAACAATCTGCACCTTGTAAAATAGAACGTATTGTGGTCATATAAATCATTTTTGCTCGATTCGAATACATCATTGTTTTTAAATTTTTCAGTATCTATAGCGAATGTTATACTTTCCAAATAGCATCGTAAAGTTTTATGAAGAATTTATTTGTTTTCTCAACGATCAATTGTTTCTGCTTTACATCTCAGTATCGAAAACTGTTTGGTCAATACTCAATAGTCAGTCTATATTCCCATCGGGTTGTTTATTGTTCAAACGGTTTCTGTTGTGATTTTTTCGACTCGATGAACATAAAAATACTCTGAAGGTTAGTAAAATTGGTTCGCAGTTTCTGCCAATATAAAATAAAGAAAAGGTAGTGTTTTTTGATAAAATGAATCCAAGAATCCTAATTTTCTGAAGTTACTGTGTTATCTCATGAGCTTGCTTTTAAAAGAGATAAATTTTGAGAATGTAACCTAGAGGTGTCGGATATTTTAAGAACCATCAGAGGAGAATTAAAAATGCTGCTATAACTTATACCACCTAATCATAAAAAGATTAACGACCGTTTTTCATAAATCTGGATAATCTGGTTAATATTCGTTTTAAAAATATGTTTGTTAAGTAACTTTGAAAAGAAACGTTTGGTTTTCGCATGTGAGATTAATTTTTGTTTGGTTTGCTCACCGCTGCTCGGATGAATTATCTGACGAATAAGCTGTGCGTAAAGTAAGAGAATCTAAAATCTACACATTGTAGGTGTTTTATTACAAATTGTTGTTTAATACGCGAAAATAACGGATTTATTATCGATGTGGGTAGTTCTGTTTATTAGACTTTTAAAGCCATTTTATTGTCTGGAGATTTTACTATCTCAGGATTTTACAGAGCTTTTTTAAACGACATTTTTACGACACTTCATCATTCGCTGATACTCGAGAGGTTCTTCATTACATAATTTCTATAATTCTCTAGTTAATTTTATGTAATAAATATAAGAATAATGAGATATTTAACTAATGAATATGGTTCTTTCTTTAAATTTTAAAAATCAGACAAAACAGGTACATTCATCCTATATTATTTGGCAAAGGCTTTTAACAACTGAAGTTTTGATATAATTAGATCAGAATGTTTTGAAAATTGGAAATATGTAGTATGTTTACAAAAAACATTACAGACATTTAAATTGACATAAACATGTCCAATAATTGGTAAAACATTCTTACTACATTTTCTTACAGATAAATTATTGCCTAACGAATCTCTCATGGAAATGCTGTGTATCAAAAGGTAATTCATTAATTTTTAGAAAAGAATAGAACAATTAGAAATGAGGTGAATGCATTTTAAGATCACCAAAGAATGTCGATAAAGCCCGCCCAGAAACGATTATGCGAATAGTTCTCAGTTTTATTTAAAAACTACTCAATCACTGTCGCTTTCCGTGAAGTGGAGTTCAGGCGACTCCAAGTTTAATTTTAACTAAGATAATATACCGCTTTTCGGCGATGTATCTAGTATAATATATTATTTTTTTTTAATACAATTGTTTCAATCCTGTATTAATAATTTTTGGCAAAAAATAACTCGATTTGTTCGAACTCATCCTTGATGTAAAAATAAAAATCTACTTAAACCTACAACTAAACGATTTAAAATAGAGGAAGTACTAACAGGTAGGTATGTCATAAATTCACGACATTTTAATTTGGTCAAACAATAAATTGATTTATCAATAACATGCAGGAAAAATAAGTAAATCTTCCCCAATTGTACCGGTTAAATCTAGGTTACCTCATCATTTTAGCTTTAGCCACAACATATAGTATATTCTTAATATTTATGGATAAGAATAGGCTATTTAAATATAGGAAATTTTTTGTACCTTGTGCAAAATGTAGCCTGTAACAGTGTTATATTATAGGCATTGTCTTTACATAATGGTGAGGTAAAATTTAGCAAACAAAATGGGCAACTAAAAAGAGATTTTCTAGATAAGTAGATAAGTAAAAATATTATCCGATACTCAAACAGTAATTGGCAAACGTATGATATGAAATTATTAAAATAGCTTTAGAAAAAGCCGAACATTATAAAGTATAGGTTCCAATTTTTAAATACTGCACAGCTATTATTTCAATAACCTACACGAAGTCAAATTCGAAATTTTAACATAAAAACGAAACATTTTTTTATTAATTACATCATCGCAGTTTCGTTTAATTTTTCTTCGTGGAATTGTTCCAAAACATTTGCAAATTTGCTGGAAAATATTCGAGCTATTAAGAGATGCCAATGAGTAAACACATAGGCATTACAAAGGCATTTGCCGTTACTGTTTTTCGCCAATAACGAGACGGATTTACTTTTATTACGGCCCAGTTTAAATATTTTGATTGTCGAATTTGAGGTTTTCCTTTGCGATTAAAACGCTTTTATTCACGACTTTGAGAAAATTCATACGTTGGTCCAAGACAATGAGTTATGGAGTGAGTCCAAATTTCACATTAATCTTATTTATTCCACATTCTCTTTGTTAAAAAAATACGTTTTTACGACTTTTAACGCGGCTGTAAAAAAATAACTGCCAGATTTATGGACCCGAAAGAGAGAGCTCGAACACCTATTGATCAAACTTCGTTACTTTATTGGCTGATTACACGAAATGTTTGATTGTTAATCAAGCGTTACCATCAGTGATTGACATTAATGGATCAATGGATAATAATCTAACGACTCGTTAAATTTAATATTTGATTATTATTACAAAGTTTGTCACAGGATAATTTTGTTACTATTGTTATTAACAATACTAAGCGATGAATTTTTGAATAATGCTTATTAATAGAAAATTCCTCACAAAAGTATCTAATATTATTAATTGTAAAATCAATCGCTTGTAAAATTTACTTTCATTAGATAAAACTTGAAAATTAAATTTTCTTTGAATTAAAAATGTTGAAATATAATGTTCCAATAAATGCATTTGCTGAAAAATTAAAATAAACTATTTCATATGACTTACGAAATAAGTTTTAAATTATCTCTATTATTTCTAGCAAATGTTGAAACTTATCAGAAAGCAGTAGCTACACAAAATTTTATAGTTTCTGTTTGATAAATTTAATTCAAACTTTTAAAAGAGTTTTGGAACAAACAACGATTTAAGCGAAATTTGGTATTCGAGAAGCGGCTTTATTGAAAAACTTACCGAGCTTTCCATGAGTTTCCATAGCGCTAAAGAAGTTGAAGGCATTGATATGTATGTAGATAGTGTTGATATCTCTCACGGCGCGTTGAAAAATTCGAATTCTATGGCCCAAATCCAAGTCTCCTCTCTAAATATACTCGTAAATATCATTATGTTCGGGCGTTCGAGGCATGTGCCTTTTTTGTATCATTTATACAGCCACTAAACCGACCATGTACTTAGTCCGAAACCAGCCACAGCGCATCTCCTGCTAAGCGGAAGGATTTCCAATCGGGCTCCCATTCAGAAAAAAATATATCGGAAGACAGAACCACGGAACGGTCGGAATTCGAAAGCGGCGAAAGCGCCAAAAGCACAACTCGCTTTACGCGCTTCGTACAAAGCACTGCATCGCGACGCCGACGTTTCTTTTTTTTCGCGTCGTTATCTAGCACGCGACGGCGAGCGACGTCATACCGCCGCCGGCCAATCGCCGCCCGCCGATAAACGAACAACCGATGGGGGTGGGCAACACAAGGAAATCGTCCTATTTTTAAAATTAAAATATTCAGCTCGGTGCGTTGCACATTCGGAAGAAAAACGCTTTCCATTTGTTCCACCGAAATCAAACAAAACCATTAATATTGTGACAGGATGTTCGGGGAAAAAAAGGATAAAGCGCGAACAGGTATCCGCTCGAAATGCCAATGTAAATACCGTTGAACTGGTTTTAAAAATACCTGTAAACAAAATTACTGGAAGCTGGTGTATCATCTATACGAATTTATCTTTGTAACGACTCTTCCCTAAACATTTTATTTGTATTGTACGCAATAGAAATTGGCTCGATCTGTGTATTTGTTGATAATAAATTGTTCCATATTGACGTTTCCGTGAATGCTCTGTGTCACGGCCGTCTGTGCGAGTTTGACCCAGTTCGAGGGGTGGCAGTAGGTCATGCTTGGTGGTGGGAAATATTTGGTTCGGTGGGAGAAAGGCCGGGGTGCACGGCAAGTTCTGGGTTAGCAAAAATTTGCAATATCAATTTTAATGATAACGACGCCCTCACTCATGTCAAGGGTAACACGCAACATACGGCTGGCCTTCGAAACTTTTCATTCTTCTTTTCGGTACAAAAACCGAGAATCAGGATATATTATAGGTATAAGTAAGGTATACTGAGGCAAATCGGTTGTAAAATTTGAATAGTTCAAATTAAATCCTAAAATGTGGCTTTATTTTTTCTCTTATTAGAATTGCTGATACCACATTAAATTCATAACTTCCTATACTAAAGAATCGAGGTAATAAAAAGTTTTTTTGAAACAGGAAGAAAACGATTATACATATTTTTTTAAATGTTGACAATATGTTACATTTACCCCATGGTACGGGGTAAATGTAACAAACGGTTCTAAATTACAATACAATTATATAGAAAAACATATGATGGGGCAATTGTAAAAAAATATTTGGTTTCTCTAAAATTTGATTTGCTGTTTATTTATTTATTTCAAAAAATAACAGAGCTACAAAATTATAAAGAAAAAATAAGAAACAAACCCTGTCTAATGCACAAAAGAACTATAAAAATAATAAAAACATTAACATAATAGGTAAAAATATTACATTTACTCCATTTTTACATTTGCTCCAGTCTACCTTATTGGGAAGTAGTATTTTTCGTATTTTCAATTGAATGCAATAAACAAATTCTTTCCTGACAATTCTTACATAAACATTCAACTGAATTATGTCCGTACTGTCTTATATCAAAACGTCAGGTAGATTAAAATAGAAATAAAATAGACGTCCTTGTAATTTTCATAAAACTCTATTAATATTGCTCCACAACCTCTTATACAAAACTTACAATTTAAGTAATACCATTTTACGAGTACTCAGAATTATGTACATATACTTAATTAAAGAGTTCTACCAGTTCTCATTATTAAAGCAGTAGGGTAACACTACTAATTTCCTGCGGTAACCATGGCAATCCGCCTCAATACAAACATTATCGAAACTAAAAATGTATTCCGCGAATGTCATCAACGACGGCGATTTCACCAAAACAATTTATACGCTGGTAAATTAATTATAAACTTGATTAATTGGACGCCTGAAGTTTCGCTGGTTTCAGATTAAAGACAACAGATTCACCGATGCCATCAAAGTTCTGCACGGCGTATCGGAATCCAGCTCCACCAGGGCGGGTCTTTCTCTGTTGGCTTACTGTTATTTTTACATTCAGGATTTCGTGAACGCCGCCAATTATTACGAGAAACTCATCAACTTGTATCCCGAAGACAATGATTATAAACTCTATTACGCGCAAGCACTGTATCAAGGTGAGTGATGGAAAATTTCGGGAGGTCTAAACGAACTAATTTCGGGGTTTTAAAAGGATGCTTGTACGAAGAAGCTTACCAGGCGTGCAATAAGTTAATCGACGAACCGGATTATAGCGAAAGGATAAGAAAACTGCAAGCCGTTATTAAATACAGCCAGGAAGATGTTTTATCCGCTAAAAGTCTAGTCGAAGCTGGAAATTCCAACGATCCTGATAGGGATGTTAATTTGGGATGTCTCCTATACAAAGTAATTAATTCCTGTCCAAAATGTGATTTAATTGTAATTAATGTGTTAATTACAGGATGGCAATTACGAAGAAGCTTTGACGAAATTCTTAAACGCCCTTCAAAACCAGGGCTTCAAGCCGTTTCTGGCCTACAATACAGCCTTATGCTACTACAGGCTCAAGGAATACGGTTCCTCTCTCAAATACTGCGGTAAAATTATTTAATCGAATCGGTTGTATAGCAATTAAAACCGCCATTATTCCAGCCGATATAATCGAAAAGGGAATTCGAGACCACCCAGAGCTAAGCATAGGAATGCAAACCGAAGGTATCGAAGTCCGTTCCGTTGGAAACACGATAACCTTACACGAAACGTCGCTCACAGAAGCCTTCAACCTTAAAGCAGCCATAGAATACCAATTAAAAAATCGTAAGATTACATCTATAGTCATACTAGTCTAGTCAGAAAAGAGCACTCTTGTTGTAGGGAGTTCTCTTTACCATTATCATCACTTTCAGTGTCTATTCCGTTACTATTCAGATTCCTCTAATGATCATATTCTTCTTCTTACTCTAGGAAGTTTTCTTCATAATTACAAGTCACTATTATTCACCACTTTTATTATCTATTCCGTTACATTTCTATTAACTACAGAGGATTATTCTGGTTCATTCAGCTTCATTATAGTAGTGATAATAAAATTGTGAAGCTCATTTGTATTATTCGTTTCAGTGGAGTCTGCTAAAGAGGCTCTAACCGATATGCCTCCTAGAGCAGAATACGAACTAGACGCTGTGACTCTGCACAATCAAGCCCTGATGAACTTCGATCAGAATCCGACCGAGGGCTTCGAGAAATTGCAATTTCTTCTGCAACAAAATCCTTTTCCACCGGAAACCTTCGCCAATATCCTTCTGTTGTACTGCCAGCACGAGTGCTACGATTTGGCGGCGGATATTTTGGCCGAAAACGCGCATTTGACTTATAAATATTTATCACCTGTAGGTAAACTTGCGTAGCTCGTAAATTAGCGGATAACGGTTTGGTAATTTCAGTACATGTACGAGTTTTTGGACGCCATAATCACTCAACAAACATCTCCGAGTGAAGCTTACCAGAAACTGGACGAGCTGGCTAGCAGACACACCGAGCAACTGCGGAAGCTCACCAAGCAGGTTCAAGAGTACCGGAATCGCAACGATACGGAGTTGATTAAAAAAACCGTCCTGGATTACGAAGATTGCTTGGACAGGTAAAATTTACGCGCTCGTTTCTTGCTTTAGATAAACCGTTTTGTTAAAGATACATTCCCGTTCTAATGGCCCAAGCGAAAATTTACTGGGACTTGAAGAACTACACGCAAGTCGAACGGATATTTCGAAAGAGCGTGGAGTTTTGCAACGACAACGATATATGGAGATTGAACGTTGCTCACGTTCTCTTCATGCAAGAGAACAAATTCAAAGAGGCCACCGGATTCTACGAGCCGCTCGTGAAGAAAAATTACACGGACGTGAGTTTTGCTAATTCACCCGCGATGGAATACACGCGAGAATTGTTTCCAGTTGCTGAACGTCAATCCCATTATACTGGCGAATCTGTGCGTTTCTTACATTATGACCTCCCAAAATGAAGAGGCCGAAGAACTGATGAGGAAGATTGAAAAGGAAGAAGACCAAATTTCATTCGAAGAGCCGGATAAGAAGATATTTCATCATTGCATCGTGAATTTGGTTATAGGGTTAGTTAATTGACTGTAAAAGTCAATTTGTATAATGTATATGTTTCTTTTAGAACGCTTTATTGCTCGAAAGGTAACTACGAGTTTGGAATATCAAGGGTGATTAAATCTTTGGAACCGTACGATAAAAAATTGGGAACAGATACCTGGTTTTATGTTAAAAGGTGTTTCTTGAGTTTGTTGGAGAACCTAGCGAAGCATATGATCGTGTTAAGAGATACAATAATCGAGGAATGTATACAGTTTTTGGAAAGCTGCGAAAGTATGATTTAATTTTTTTTAATTAGTCATTAATTATTATTGTTGCATATTTCAAGTACGTATAATTACCCCATTTGATTTTAGTGTATGGGAAAACGGTAAGGACTGTCGCATATTCTTCATTATCGGAATTGAATGAGGCTCCTAATGGAAAAGAAACTGTTACATATGAAGCAAGAAAGATTAAATGTTTGCTAATTCGATTGTATAATTTTGAAAATTGAATATTTAAATCGTTTTGTAATTAAATAAAAAACGTTGTTCAGTTGAAAGAGTAGAAATATTTTATTAATCAATATTTGTTAATATCAAATTACCATCTACATTCACAACATCAATAAAAAAATTACACTTATAAAGTACGTACATACTGCGGGGAGTTAAAATTACAAAATACCTTAATTAGAACTAACTCATTAAAATTTATACTTATATAAAAGAGAGTTTGCCCCACCATGTAAGAAAGTAAAGTAGCTCTTAATATCTATAAAAACGTATCAAAATACATACATTGCGCATTACTGTGTATGTTATTTCCCATATACAATGCTTTAAATAACATATTTGTCTTTAAACGAAGAAAATAGTCCAGTTTAAAAAACATTTGGAACGTAATTTTAATCAAAATCAATTCGAAAAAACTACAATTTATTATTAAAGCATCGTATATAGAAGCGTTAAATAATTTTGAGCATATCGTTAACTACATGAGTCTTTCGTAATTTTTGGCACAAGCCAATTTGCTTCTATCATTTAAGTTAACTATTCACTCTCATCGGCCATTGAATAAAACTCACAAGTCAGCGCATTTAGAAAATGGCAACTCGAATATTTCTCACCTTTTATAATACCGATTAAAATTACTACAAGATTTATTCAATGGAACTAAAAGTAGGAGATATAATGCACAGCACACAAATAATCGAAAATTAAATGATGTAAATAGCAATAATTTTAATTTACAATTAATAATTACTGTCAAAAAATATCCGAACGGAGATCACAACGTGTTAATTAAAGCATGATTTAAAACTGACTAGACGTCATTTAATGCGTAAAGTATCACACAAATTAAAAGATTATGTGAGAGTATTGTTGATTCAAATTGGAAAACGATACATTCCAAATGTGTTGAAGAATAATTTAACAAAATCTGGGATCAATAGTAGAGATCGTAACATGGAAAATTTATGATAGATGATTATTATGTTTATCCCTAGTTTTTTGCATATTTTATGGGAGATTTTAATAGGAAACGCGAGGTTGTAGACAAATTAATATTTAGACATCTCTAAATATTTCTCGAATATAATGTCTAGTTTTATTCTAACGCGCAGGCGCTACTCGCAATAATAAAAATATTATGTCTATGGCACGCATATTATAGTTTTAATCGTCAACAAAAAGACTAGAGACAAAGTATAAATTAAATAGCCTTCGGGGTGATTCAGATTTTAACCCATCCAAAATACATTTCAAAGAAATTTTTATAAAAACCGCAATTCTCCAAAATTGTTTGGGTGCAACAAAGACAACTTCCATTAGTCTCATATAAAGGAGAAAAGATAGAGTGATGTTTAGTGTAATTCTAACTTTCTCATTCGAACCACTGTTATTATAATAATATTTTTGTTCAACTCATAGAATTGCTGTTTACCAATATAAATGATAAAATCAATGTTTCTGAATCACCTCATTACTAAAACCTTAACAACTAAATTCTATCGAATAAAAAATGAAAATTTTCATTTAATCTACTTTCATTTTTTCTTCAATAGATTGTGTATTGATATATTGCTTTTCCTTAAAGAGAATACACGAAGCAAAGATCGTACTAAGCATTACATAGACACGATGTTAGAAAAAATAAATTGCAAATGATAAGCAAAATCGCTTCGTTGGAAAAGTGGTTTGCAATTATTTTTTTTGCCTAGTTTAGCTGGATATAATGTAATGCTCTCCGAAATATAATTGTATGTTATCCCTTTTTTTAAAGATTTTATATTATAGAATGCGCGAATTTTAAAAAGATAATTACTTATCGCTGACGCATTCGGATTGTAACATGTTTTTTTTTCATAAAAATTATTGTTAAATTATTCCCGATGATTTAAAACACAGCTATTTGTTGTTACTTTTGAGCAATAATTTCAAACAGTCGATACTTATTTAAAATTAAAAAAAACTGTATTTTTAAGTGGTTGATAATTCGTTATAATCGCAAAAATAAACAACAAACGCTTAGCTTTTACTGACCTTTTTAAACCGTTACCTATCTACAATAAACTATTAAGCAATATTGTATAAACATAAAAAAATATGTTAATGTAAAATACGAGAAGCGTCCTTTATGTTTTTTATGAGACATGACTTTAGATTACGACGTACATTACGTACTTGCATTTACCTAATTTTTTTTTATTCTACCCATTCTTTTTCGTCCACTCCTTCCATAGCGTCCTGTTCCAGCGCCATGTTGAATTGGAGCTTACTACTCACCGATTTCTTTATCTATTAAATAAAATACGTGGAATAAAACGAGTACAGTCGATGCAAAATAAATATCAATTCACGTCACTGCTGTCGTCATACTTGCCAAGCATTGTGACCAACTTTTAAAAATAAAGGACATTCGCGCTCGTTAGGCAATGACGTCATTTTTAGACGACGTCATTAATTTCCACGCAGTTCAACATTTCCCTAGTGTCAATGTTAATTCTCCCATTTGACTAGGGGAATTTAACGATGCGTAGTTGAAAGTCGAAGGCGATGTTGTCATGCATTAGTCTCAACATTCGCAATATTTAGCGGCGCTTTGTAGTTGACACTTTGACAGGTTATGGCTACAATTTGTTGTTTTTGCGCGATTTTCCTGTATTTTTTCAAGTTTACAAGTAGGTTTTGTGTTTTTCGTTCGTTCTAGATAGTTTTTCGTGCGGTTTATGTACATTTATAGACAGTTTCTCCCGCGATTTTCGGTGTTTTTCGACCTATTTTGGGAGGGAACGGGACGATGTAGGCCCTTTTTTCCCGATTAATTTCCGATCAATATTTTCGATAGTTCAGCACATTGAAATTTATAGGTTATGTTAAACTTACGAATAGTTTCTTAAATGTATATTTCTGTTTTGTAGGGTTGTGAAGCGTTGCAAATAAACACCTCTCCCGTCAATCGGATTGCAGCCTAATGCATTTCTTCTTTTTAATTTCTAAACAATGAAGGTAAACATAACCTTAAATTAAATATATCTGTCACATCAAGATTTTCATTTCAACCCGGCAACGTTGCAACATGTTGGCTTGTGACGTCATTGCCTAGCGAGCACGAATGTACTAAATCATAGGTGACGTGCATTGATATTAATTTTGCACAAACAGTAGAAATGAATTAATCGCAATAATTACCTCATCTTGCTTGCACTTGACGTCGCTAGAATCGACGTCCCAGCCGACTCTTCCATGGCTGAGGCCGATGAAAGGGCTCGATGCCGATTTATTTATCGTTCTTTCGCTATTCGGCTGGCCCTGACACTCGGACACTGAAGAAAACATGCTTAAACTCGAGTAATATCAAACACGATACAAACTTACATAGCTCCATGCCCGATGGTTGCAAGCTTACTTTAGCCGGTGCTTTCTCTTTGCCGCCGAACCACTCGGAAGAGCTCATCGTCGGACTCCACGTGATTCTCGTCGGTGGAAACAGATCGTCCTGGAATAGCTCCGTCTGCGAATACGAGACGAGTAATATTTTTTTATTTATTGTGTTTATTAAGGCGTACTTTTAACCTAGGTACTGTAAACGAGAGAGGTTCGATCGAATTGTTAGTGAGCCTGAAAGCCTTGGCAAATTCCACGTTGGCAACGTCGCACGCGTTCTTGGGTAAAAATGACAAACCTTGGTGCAATGTGTTACATCTGTGATGGCTCAAAGCGCAGATATAAGGATGCTCTTCGGTTATTTCGAACGCATAAATTGTCGAATCGCCCTTAAAAATGTATAAATTATAACACGCTTCGCTCACTATACACTGTTGGAAATTTAATTTCGCATAATAGGGAAATCAATGTTAAATTCTTAGCCGGCTGAAATCCAGTCTACCAGTATACATTTCAATAGAACGTCGCGATGAATTCTAATAAATTTAATTGTTCTACTGGATCGCACGCCGCGATTTGTAGAGGTACAAAGTTATTTGTGTTAGGTATGAGGTACAAAATTATTTAGAAACTACATTTAATAGGTTTTTTGGGGATATTTCAAAAAGTGTATGTATCGGTAGGTACAGTTTTGAAATAGCAACAAATTTTGTTGAAATAAGGGAAAAAATAATTCAATTTTCAGCTAGAATTATACCTCAGCTCAGTAATATGGGATGACATCTGTATGATCTGTATGATTGGCTATAGTTTAGCAGAAAGCGGAGGACTATTTTTTAGAGTTCTTTTATTTTCTGTTTTAAAATAATCTTTAAGTTAATTTTTGGAGTTTCCTTTTTATTATTTTCTTAGAATTTACTTTCTTTTTCAAGCCATTGTGGCAAAAAGACATATCTACATAATTCTATTTTAATATTAGTGATATTTTTTCAATAAATTATAGTTTAAAAATTCTCATTTCTTTTTAATCGACTCGACGTTCACCCGTCCGAACCCGTTTTGATATTGTCGAAGTGTCGAAACCGTCGAAATTATTTGATTTTTAATCTAACCAAGCCAAAGCACGGTGTGAAGTCCAGTAGAACAATTAAATTTATTAGAATTTATCGCGACGTTCTATTTAAATGTACACTGGTAGACTGTATTTCAGCCGGCTAAGAATTTAACATTGATTTCCCTATTATGCGCGAATAATTTTCTAACAGTGTATATATCAAAAAATATTTTACTTTTCCTGTAACAAACAGCGTCGAGCTATCCTCGTCGTAAAACGGTATCAAAATGGCCGGCGAAACGTCCAGACTTTGAGTGTTGAGCGGACTGTCCAAATTATCCGATCGGTAAGCCGTAATCTGCCTCTCGGACACTTTATCGAAACCAGTGACGACAATAAAGTGCCCGTCGAGCGCCCACGTTATCCTGGCGCCTCTGTTCCCTTCGGGACCTTTGCCCTCGCGCAAGGCGTTCTCGCCGGCGCGCGGTTTATACACGCGAATTTTGCTATCTTTGCTCACGGTGGCGCAGAAAGATCCGCACGGCGACCAAGCGAAGCTGAAAATTTGATCGGCCGGGCCGTTCAAAACGATCTTCTCGCTCAGCGTCGCCAAATCCCACAATTTTATCGTCGCATCGTAAGAACCTGCAATTGTAATCATACCGGCATGTGGAGTAGATGCGGTAATAGTACTTACCTGAAGCCAGCACGTCCTTAGCGGTGGGATGAAATTTGATGAAGTAAATCTTATCGGAATGGGCGACAAATTCTTTTTCAGTTTCGTTGGTTGGTTCTTTGAGACCGCCTTCGGGTATTCTCCATAATTTTACGGTACCATCATCGCAGGCTACGGCTAATCTTCGAGTATCGAAAGGATCCCATGTGAAGTCCATGATGCTGTTACCGTGCACTAAAGCAGGAATAACACCGTCGGGCAGTCTTCCGGTTTTGCTCAATTCGAATATGGCGATTTTACCACCGGGGCCGCTCAAAGGAACCGCCACGCGTTCGGGGTTCGCTAAAAATCACACTCTATAGCATAGAAAAAAATTATTAAAACGAGTAGATAACTCACCTTGAAATCCATCGCATTCGCCGGGAATCTGCCGGCTCAGGTTCCTGATGTTCTCAATGTGAAACGATTTGTGCAAAGGAGTGCCTTTCAAGTGCCTGAATTTCGATACTCGTCCTACAACATAAGAAATACAATTAAAAGAGCTCGATTAAAATTGTAAAATACAAACCGAAAACAGTCGATGTTCTCTTCGGCGTCGGCATGACGATTTCGGATTTCCGAGACCCGACAGGATCGGCGCTCTGTTGCTTCGACACCGGCATACTTTTCCTGTTGTTATCGTCCTTCAAAACATCGTCCACGGACTTCCTGTTTTTGAACGAATCCTTCCGACGAAGCATCACCGGAGAGCTCTCCTTCTTATCGGAGCTCTGTTCTTGCACCGAAACCGATCTATAAAATACATTCTAATCGATAAGCGTTCGATCGAACGGTCGTGAAATTACAGTACCGGTTCTCGTAGAGCCTCCTTCTTTCGGCGATGCTGGCCCGCTGGCCGCCTCGTTCGAAATCCACCGAATCGGACGCCTCGTCGGGCTCGTTCTCCTTCGAATCCGATCGAGATTCGAACAGCTTCCTTCGCTCGGCGGTGCTGGGCGTGCGCGGAACGTAGCCCGAATCGCTGCTGGCTTCTTCTTCGCCGCTCGAGCCCGATTTGCTGTGGATCAACTCCACTTTGTCGTTGGTTTCCGCGGTGGGAGACTTTTCTTTGACGGTTTCGATTTTCTTCTCGTCGGCGCTAGCCGTGGAGGGCGCGTTCGAGGGCTGCCCGGGAACGGCGGGCACGGAGAAAACTTTAGAAAACGAATTTTCCGTGTCGTTGAGGTTCGGCGGAGTGAACGGTTTCGGACCGAGCCTCGGCTACAAGAAATTAGGTGCTCATGTTTATGATATTGTAAATGTAAATTGGAAAACCCCAAACGAAATAAAAACTTTTGATTCTAATTTAATGTACGTTATATATACACTGTGTTATTTATAAGATGTGACATAGGGATTCCTGTACAAATGTGTCAAAAGCAAGCTAACTTTTTTACCAAATAACGTTCGTAAAAAATAATGACAGATTTGAAAAGATCGTCAAAAAATAAGTCGAAATGGACATTAAATTTTATTAAATTCGTTCTGGTTTAATAAAAAAATGTATAATTAAGTTGAAAAAAGTCAAACGTCATATGTCACTATCTAATAATTGTTAAAAGCGGCGGAGATATCTGGAATGGTTTACGCTCTGAAGTTTGAAAAAATCAGCGGTAAGGAATCTGGTTCAATCCCACGCAGTGCTGATTTTTTTTTTCTTTTTTTCTCTGGCATTTTTTGTTTTTTTAATGTTTTTTTTTTGTCAAGAATAAAAATATGGCATCATTTTAAAGGCTCTACCTTCTAACGAGATTTTGCGTTATTAAAATTGACACTTATTTGTCGGAGCTTTTATTTAAATAAAAATAAAATTATATCTCAAATAAGCTCGTCTTATTTTAAATATTTCTATTTAACATTTTTTAGACAAAAATATTAGAAAAAAACCAAAAAAAAAAGAAAAAAATGTCTTTACTGCGCGGGGATTGAACCACATTACTCCCCGCTAAAAATTTTAAATTTCAGAGCGTAAACCATCCCGGCTAACTCCGCCCATTTTACAATTATTAGATAGTGACATAAAAATGACACATTTATGACGTTTGACTTTTTTCAACATAATTATACATTTTTTAATTAAACCAGAACGAATTTAATAAAATTTAATGTCCATTTCGACTTATTTTTTGATGATCTTTTCAAATCTGTCATAATTTTTTTACGAACGTTATTTGGTAAAAAAGTTAACTTGCTTTTGACACATTTGTACAGGAATCCCTATGTCGCATCTTATAAATAACACAGTGTATAAATTAATCAACGTTGAAATCAAGTCCAATTGTAAGTCAAACACAGTATGCGTGCAAAACGAAAAACAAAAAAAGGGGCCCGAGGAAAGACACGTGTAAACATAAACGGTGCAAATTATTTACATGCCACATTTATAATCTTTTCTATGTTGCTTCACAAACCAACAATAAAGCCCAAACCAGCAAAAAATCAAATAAAAAGAAAAAAAAACGATCACACTGAGAAGCCATTTAGAATAACCTTGTATCCTCCGGAGGTGGGAGCGACGGGACTGACAGACGTTACAACGGGAGCGCAACTGTTTGTACGAGGTCTAGCCACTGGCTTGGGAACGTTATTCAAATCCTCGGTAATTTGGGTATCGCACACAGAACTAGTTCTCGACGTTCTCGGTAAAGGTTTAGGGGGAATAATGGAAGGAGCTATTACCTTTTCGTCATTATCATTATCTTTTTCAGCGTTAATATTGTTCTGTTCCTCTTCGATTTGTTTGTTGTCCTTTTCTTTTTCGAAGTTACTGATGATGCCTCTTACTGGATGATTGTCTAGTTTTTTAGTGGGTATAAATTTTGGCTTGACGTCGGGCTTGGAGTTTAACATTTTGGTTTTGAATTCTTCTCGCATTTGCTGGAGGGGACCTCGATGAATCTTGAAAATAATATCAAAATTAAATAAACCATTAATTGAAATAGTTTTAGTTCTTACCACTAAAGGTGCCTCGCCATTTTCACGTTTCGAAGGATCTAAGGAAATTTTCTGCAATGGAATATTCTTCCCTTGTGTCCAATCTGACGAAGCCAAGTCAGTCTTGTATCCAGGAGTCTCGGGATAAATATCAGCGTGAAAATCCCTAAAACATTGTACCATTAAAAATGTTGTATTCAAACAAAACGAACCACAAAACCTGTAGCTTTTCCTCGGTACTTGATAAGTTATCGGAATCACTGAAGAGCTGGTCAATTGAAGTACCCGATTCACTTCTCCTTGCATAATATTCAACGACCTTTTCGGCACTAAACAAACACCTTTTGTTTGCTCACCCGAATGCTTCAAACCTTCAATAAGGTAAGGATCCTTATCTGTTACTTCCAGATATAAAATTGTAGTATCCCCTGAAACTTAGTATGTAGAAAACATCCGACGAATTTTACACATTTTACACACCTTTTCCAGCCAAAAATAACATTCCAGTATCAGCATCGTAAAGGGGTATGAGTATACCAGTCGAGCAATCTAACTCTAACGTTTTCTCAGTTTCATCGAACTTACGTAAATCCCTAATTATCACTTGCCTCAGTCTTTGAGCATCGAAACCGGTGGTCAAAATTTTATTTTGCTCACCCAGCCACACTACTTTCGAATCTTTTATCCCGGGATGAGAGTTTGCGGATTTCAAGCAAGCGTTTTCAGTTCTCGGATCCAAAATTCTCACCTGTAATCAATGATTAATAACATTCTTGTTTGGGTTTTTCGATTGAATTGCATTATGAAGATTTAAAGGAAATAATTACGATTTTTGTGGAACGTACCTGCTTGTCTTTAGCGGAAGTGGCCACTAAAGTACCGTCTCTCTTCCAGCTTACCGATTGGATAACCTCCGTGGGGTCTGTGTTGGAGAAGATTTCTTGTTCGGATAAAAGATCCCACAAAGTGAATGTAGTGTACGAGGTGGAATGAAGAAGAAAATCAGCCGTTGGGTGGAAACCAACGAGCTCTACTCTACGTTGCTTATGGGAAAACGTACATTCTGCATTACTAAGAGATTCCTAAAAATGCAATTTTTGTTTACGTGCTCACTAGTCAAAAAATTTGAAACAAACACCGAAACGTTTCCAGAGTGAATTTTATACATTTTTGCGCAGCTTTAGTGAGGAAATATTCCTTTCGTATTGTTGCATTATGTTAAATTATCATATTTTATGATATCTCTGAGTGCATTTACCTGCAGTCCTTCTTTTGGAATGTGCCAAAGTTTCACCAAACAGTCTTGCGAACCCGTAGCTAAAAGTCCATCGTGGAATGGAGAAAATGCAATGTCAGTGACGGTGTCGGTATGAGCTTGCAGAAGGGGCATCGATTTGCTCTTTCTGCCCGAATCGTCCAGAGGAAGCACGGCCAAACAGGAGCCTACGTGGTCCCAATTGAAAGCCATAAACTTGGCAGAAGCGGCGATATTGTTTCCATAAGTCTGGTAAGAGCCCACACAGATATCTCTAACGTACGTCTCCGGCTTGGGTACGATCGGCGCCGCGTTTTTGTATTTACTGGCTTTGAATCTCCAAGCCATTATGTTCGATTTATTCAAAATTTTCCAACTTACATGAAATTTCGAAATGTATTTTCGTTAGCGAAATTAATGATATGAGAAGCTTGTTTTGTTATCACTGAAAGGCTTGGATTATTTTTATTTCTTTAAAATGATGTCCTTTATAATTGATTACACTTAAACACTAAATTGAATATTGAAAATAAAACCAACTTTTTAGTCATTTATACGCCCATCACCGGAACGCTTGACACTTTGTCAATCAAACAAAAACATTTCCACGAGTTCCTATTTTCAGGCATGATTCCACCACATTGCCATTTTTTAAACGTCAATTATATTTAAAAACTTCCTTCTTTGTTAATAAATAGGTTTGCAACTGTGTTTTAATAGCGCCAAAAATTAATATAAAGAACTGAATTTTATAATTATTTAAAATATTTCAAGTTAAATGAATTAACAAAGCTCATTACGGCTAACGCCATAAATAAATTTCTGTATTTTGGAGTAATTTGGAAAGTGTGGCAACTTTGGAATATCTTCGATTATTTTACTGACATAAAATTTAGCGCGCAATTTGAAATTTTTAGAAAAATACAATTTTTTGTGTAATAAACTAAAAGTAGAAAGTTATAAATTAGTTCATCTTTTTAAATTGATGTAATTTCGTTAATTAAAGTGACTAATTATGTTAATTGTTGCCTAAAATTTATTCAACAATCGAATGAAATGTGTCAAGGTGCCGCGATCGCTGCGCCCTCTTCCTAGATTCAGTTAACTAGCCATAATTATTTATCCGGAGTGTCGATCATTAAAAAAGAATCATAAATCAATTAGGAGTTGGTGCACTAGGAGCAGGCCATGGTAAAAAGATCATTTTATTAATAAACATTTTCGCTATCATTTTCTTCACTCGATTATTTCGCACTATGCACGATTTAATTTTGGCTTCCCTCAAGGTTGGTCCGCTTTAGCCTAGTTTTCAGGGACAAGCCCAGTTTCATTTACCATTTTTTTGTTTAGATTTATGGCTTAAAATACACTGAACGTACTATTTTTTAGGGTAACGAAACTTCTCTACCCATGGAGCTTTGCTCTAACTGTAAGTTAGCTTCTAATTGATTCTAATGCGGATAAATAATTTTTTATTTTTTTGGTTTTTTTTAGTCGATGCGGATGAGATACGGCGTCTCGGAAAACGTTTCAGAAAGCTGGACCTGGACAATTCGGGCGCCCTGAGCATCGATGAGTTCATGTCCCTTCCGGAATTACAGCAGAACCCCCTCGTTCAACGCGTAATTGACATTTTCGACGCAGATGGTAACGGTGAGGTCGATTTTAAAGGTGAGTTTTTATTACAATTTCAAATTTCCTTTACTTGTAGTTAGTTTTTAATAAATCCAGGTCGCCTAGAACCGATTATTTACAATGCTTCACTTTCGTTTATTTGAAGGACACCTAAATTACCTATAACATGTACTACAGGTTCTGCTGATTATCAAATTAACTTCAAAATTATTGTATATGTTAAGAATAAAAATGAAGGGTGTTAGTAGGCGTTGAAAAATTAATGTAAATTGTATACAAAATTTAAAAAATCTGCTATAAATCAAGTGTGCACTCTTTTAAATTCAGAATGTAGAATAAAAAATGGAGAATCTCTAGGAACTAGGAACTGTAATATCAATTGATAACAAAAAGGCGTAAATAATAAAATAAACAGGTTGATTCATTTTAGTTTGGGTAAGATAAAGACAACTTCCATTTGACACTTATAGAAAAAAGAAAGAGTGATACTGTGTCGTTGTAACTTTTCACTCTAACAACTGTCATTTTAATAATATTTCTTTGTTCAACTCATAGTAATGATCATATTGCAAACTGAAATGAACCAGGGTATATGTATTACAAAAGCAAACATCTACCTTAATTATTGTTTACCAATTTAGCTTTACATGCTCAGCATTTACAACTAAAACGTGTGTAACAAGTCTAATGTTCATTTCTTTGTAAATAATTACTTATTACAGTAGTTATTAATACTAAAAATTCCATACATAAACTAATTAGTGTAGGTACTTTAAGTCTATTAACTTATTGGGTTTGTTTATTTTTTGATTTGAAATTGTAGAATTCATCCAGGGTGTCTCCCAATTCAGCGTGAAAGGCGACAAACTCTCGAAATTGAGATTTGCCTTTCGAATTTACGACATGGATAACGATGGGTACATTTCTAATGGCGAACTCTTCCAGGTAAAAGTTTAATCAATTAAATTCAATCAATTTGATTGACTCGATTCTATACAGGTTTTCATCAAAAATGAAGAATTTACTCGCTAAAATAATACAATATTACCCATGAATGTTTTTAAATAGCTTTTTCGAATTGCGTGACTTCTTCCAAAAAGGATAATGGCGCTAATTCCTGCCTGCTTGCTTTTATCCTTTTAAGGAGTGCATTAATTGAAACACACCCTTTTAGACTTGGATTACTTTTGGCAAAATTATGTTCCAAAAGAACCCTTTCCCTTAGCAAATTTATTTTTTTAACAATCCTATAAGCAAAGAATTACAATAATTAATTATTAAGTTTCTGTTTGGTTTTGAGTGAACTAGTTGATTTATTAAGGCGAATCATTAATCAGCCAATTGTAAGGAGAAAATTTAGTGGGCGTAGAGAATTTTAAGTGAGTTTATGAATTATTGATTGCAATGAAATTTGATTGGAAATTTTCGATACAAATTAACAGTAACATAAAAGTACAGAAACTATTTATGATATATATGTCTTCATTATTCCACATTTCCATTCGTTTTCGCTGGTATTAATATTCGATTATTGTACAGGTCCTAAAAATGATGGTCGGCAATAACCTTAAGGATACCCAGCTGCAGCAAATCGTGGATAAAACTATATTGTTCGCAGATAAAGATGAGGACGGGAAAATTTCCTTCGAGGAATTCTGCAATGTTGTCGGTAACACCGACATTCACAAGAAGATGGTCGTAGATGTTTAGATCGTGCGATCGTCGAGTTCAACTTGAAACCTAATCTTTTAGTTGTTGCGAATAAATCAAAATTCTGTCGTTTTGGTTCGTACTACACGTTAGAAACGCTTCGAATATATCGGTGTGCACGGTTCACGGGCAATTTTATGGACCGTGTATCACTCGTTTTCTCACTGCTTTAGTATAAACATCACTTCCTTTCTTTAGCGTTAGGATCAAGTTGACTCTTGTTATGTTTGTAGTTTATTTAAATTCGCTGTATAAATCTAAAGAACAGCTCATATTGCATGCGTTGCGCTTTCATTTTATAAAAAATAAAATATAATGTGTTTTGAATAGTTGTTCTTTATACTTTTAATCTAAATGTCGTGTGTGTATAGCTTTAAAGAGTATCAAAATGTAACCTAAATTTTAACGCTTAAATCATGTTCAGCTTAAGAATGTACTTATCGAACTTTTCACACAAAAACTATCGGTTTAGATTAAAAGAAAAAGTTCTTGAGCAAGTTTTAAATTATAGGGTGATTTATAAGGCTTGCTATAATTACTTTTTATTCTAGTCAAGTATATCTGATATCAACAACCTAACGGTTTGCGTCCCAAACATAAGGAATGTTTGTCGAAGTCAATTTGAAAAAAAACTTAATGGGACTCATACTAGTTGCACCTATTATGTTTTTCCTCTACATTTAATAAACATTTCGCCGTTTCGATGCAAACTGTTAAGTCTATACAGCAATGATTCGCTGTGATTTTTCATAAATTGTGTGCTTTGGGAACGAAACACCGAACGTTGCTTCGTTGATATTTTAGTTGAGATTTTTATCTAACACAAGAATAGATGTAAATTAGTTTGTAGATTGGAAAGTTTCATTATATTGTATAATATGTTAATCTGTGTGAGATGTTTTAAAATTTATGTTTAATAAAGATTATTCACCTCTCGAATGATCTGTTTTTTTTTTGCACTGTCATATTTCGGTTTTGTCATAAATCGATTATTTCGCGTTATTCAAATGAATCGACGATGATTTAATGAAGCTGGATTTATGCTTGCACAATTTTATTTTCGTTGGATTGGATTAATATTTGCCCTCTATTGTGTTGTGGATGTAATGTATTTGTGTAATAAGAATTTAGACAAGTAGAAATTCGTACAGGGTGGTAATTAATTGAGTGCCGATTCTACAGGATGTGAATATTTGGATGATTTTAAGAAGAAAAGTATATCAGTGTATGTCCTAAACCTCTTAGTTTTCGAGCTACATGGTGGTACAGTTTTGGAAAAAAAAATACTTTTAAGAAAAAAGTAGAGTCCAGAAATAGGTGTGTAGCTTAGTAATTAGCCTTGTGCAATGAATAACATGAGGAATATTTCGAGAAGCTAAAAAAATTAATTTAATTGGTGTATTGTTTATTACATGAATCCTTTGTTTGACTACCCATGTTCACTGTGAATGTCTAGTAATACCTACTACATATTTTCTCCAGGAAATCTACTATCTGAAAAGCCTTCAAGAAGAGTATTTGTTTTCCTATTCTAGTTAATACACTTAAAATATTGTATTAAGCTAAGCAACGTATTCAGAAAGAATGGGTACTCGTTTGTGGTTTCTCTCCAGGAAATATTACTTTACACACAATCTTCCACTTTCACTAATTGAACTAATTATTCCTAGCAAATCCTGCTACAGAAAACGTTTTTATTATTTCCAAACAAATTCTTTACGTAACTCAATTCCAATTAGGTGCCTACCAATAAAGTTCCTTTATTTCTAATGAATCCTGCAGCGATTTTTATGCAGATATACAGGAAGCCACAGTCGATTAGGCACGTTTAAAATACTTTACGTACCGTATAAAGTTTTTATTGGAGTTTTTTTTAGTTCAATTGCTCATTGTAAGTGCTTAATCCGTTTTAAAACGGCTGAAAATCTTTCGGATATACGAGAACGGACGTAATCAAAGCTCTGCCTGCATGGTCTGGCCTAGGCCTATACGCAAGTATAGTCCTTTAGTATCTTCTCGCTATTTGACGAGTTGAAACGATATCGGCAAGCTCGATTACATACGAACGCACGTGGTATAAGCGGTCTTACGTGCGGTTGTAAAGTATTTTTTTTTTCAATTTTTGAATTCTTGGTTGCAATAATGCAGTATTGGACAGTGAGGTTTCTTGAAAGTCCCAAAGTTTTTTGCTGTTTTAATTAAAAATGGGAATTTTACATTTTTGTGACCACTAATTCGAATTTGGTTTATGGGATAAAACCGGAATTATGATATTTGAAAACATTTTTATTTGGTAAGTACCCACTATAAATATTTTAAAATTACACTTTTACCTACAGAAAATTTATCGCAAACAATTAATAATAAAATTTCAAATTTATTAGCGGTTAAAAAGTTTGATACATTGAGATGAGGAATTTATTTTGTCGTTAATTTTAATTACAAACTAATAAGTGTAGTAAGTAATTCGAGTATTTCCGGTTATTAAATTTTAATTAATGATCGTTCACTGTTCTGTTTTAAATGATAAAGCGGTTCCTGGAATATAACGAATAATGCAGGAGAATTACCAACAGAATTTCCTAAACTTGAGACCACGAAATATTGAAAAAAATTATGAATTAATATTGAAATCTATTATAATTTAATATTATATTGACCTACTACAATTTCAAATAAGAAGCTGGGAGAAGCGATTAAAACTTCCTGGTATATTATGGAATAAATACTCCAAAAAAGGGCTCATTAAGATAAACAAAGCTTTCCTTGTATACCATTACAGTTCCTTTCTCATTATACATACATCTCTATTTACACTTCATGAATATGACTCTGCTATATGGTGGATATTTATTTTTGTTAGTAAATTAGTTTGGCATAATTTTGTAGTATTATTTTGACACATATTACATAATAGAAGCTAAAATGGCTACTTACGTAGTCTAAACATATTTTTTTCGATCTTTATGTTTTGACTAATTGAATAACGTTTAAAAAACATGTAAGAAAATATTTACCGATCAGAGGCGTTCTCAAAGAGAAACATGAATTAACAGATTAATAGAAGTACCTGCTCAAAACTCTCTTGGTTTAACCGGTTAAGTTAATTATTTCAGCATGGTACGCTTATGTATGTAAGTCCCAGATATTCTATGTAGTACCTATTCACGCAAGAAAAACGTTCAGTAAAATATGGAATAATAAATATTACCAGTTCAAAGAATGTCAACTTGTGTTTGCCTACACACAGATAACCAAATTTTGCATTGTCAACCAAATTTTGTGAGGCGAAAGAACTGAATAAACAATGATAATAAATTAGAATAGCACTAACTTATCCATACGCACCACTACAAGATCATAAATTTGCTTGAGAGTGTGAATTTTATTGAAAACAATAAATTTCTTCCATCCAAAAATATTAATTAGAGTCATTTCTTGGTGTGTATTTTCTTTCTGGTTAAATGCTAGCTCGAAATCTTGGAAATTATCTGCACACATAATAGTTTCTTTTACTGCATAACAAATACAATTAACTCTACGCACTATAAGGCAATAAAAAAAGTAATTAGAACGCATCGATTGCACCATTTCTCTCCATTCATTCGTTCATTCACAAGGTTCAGTCGATTGACAATTTGTCATTTATAGGCCATCAGAATAAACATTAAAATTTATTATTATTATTCACTTGAAAGAGTATTATACCGAACTAATTTGATTACGTTTCTTACATAATGAAATATTTTTTCCTTTTCCGTTTGATAACCCCTTATATTCCGGATCCCCGATTGAATTACAGTGCAATTAAAATTGTCAATAAGATAATGAGAAATGCATATGAATCTCCTGTAAATTGGATGCAAAGAAGTTGATAATAAAAAATCATAATTATTTTTGAGTGGGAATTTTTCGGTATTGAAATAATTCATTCCGGTTAACTATCGAATATAAAACATTCCAGAATAACCCTTCACAGATATTTATCGAATTTTACATTATGACCTACATTATCTCGACATATGTTAGAATGCATTTAAAGTGTTAGACGACTGTTTTACGAGACGATTGCCTTTTTTAGACGGACGCTTAAAACACAATATATTACCCGATTTCAATATTGTGACTATTAATTACGAAATAAAAACGAACTAGAGATTTTTTTAAATACTTAACTCACGTTTTTTTATTTCTATTCCCAACGAAGATGCAACAGATAATATTATGAGAGTTATAAAACGAGTAGGTAATGTAGGTTTGTTTACTAAATTAGTTAAAAGAGAGCAGATAAAAATATTTTGGTCTTACAACGAGATTATTGCACCTGAACGTTTTGGATTTTTGAGATATGAAAATTTGCATTGACGGCTTAAGTAATAAGTTTTTTTTATTAGGATCATCAAAAATATTGCCTTAATTTAGATCCCACTATATCTTACTAAATATTAGCATTCCAAAATTATCAAATAAACAGTTGTTAAAATTAACCTTAGTAAACAGCACAGTAATAAAAATTACTAGTGAAAGTTCATTAAAATTTAATGATATTGGAAATGATAATACTCTAAATACATTTGAAAAAAAAGTCTTCCTCATTATAGAGCAGATGTTGCAAAATCTAGATGATTCGATTATAAGCAAATTCTTATTTCTACATGCGAATTAAAACGAGCGTCTCTAATATGCCACATAAATTAATTTAAACCACTTGTGTGTTCTTATTGTTTTAAAGAGGATACAGAGAGGACATCTATATAATAAAATCATAATGGTTGTCTATGTGCAATGTCCCGACAAATCTACTGTTCATTGAATTTATATTGAAATTTTTATCGCTTATGTTCAATCTCCACATCTCCTAATCAGGTGATCAAACGAATTGAATATCTGAATTAAACCTTGAATAATAATATCGGGAATATTTTACATTTGTTACAATTTAAACTTAAAGCAGAAGAATAAATTTATTCAATTGGCAAAATTAAGAAATCTTCATCTTTCCATACCTTCTAATTGAATTATTATTTGGAACAGAGATAAAAATGACTTCACCAACTGCATTCCAGATAAACTGGGATTAATTAACTTATTAGATGATAATGAACTTGGCATAGGAAGTTAATTGAATAGTTATTAACGCGCCAATTATTATGAAAGTAAATTGCAGTGCGTTATGTAATAACTAGTTTATTTCTGCATTTAACAATTTTGCATATTTCTTTATTGACAACGAGTTTTTATTCTCAATAAATTATTATAAAAATATGTAGAGTATTTACGGACTTCTGCTAGCAGCATTTTAATGAATTTTATTAGTTAAAACAGAGCTAAATTAAAATATGAATCATCCCATTTCCAGGCTTCTTCAAGCTTAGTTAAATTAACGATGAAAATACTTTTTACGGAATTTTTGTGAATTTTCATCACAAATATACGGGTTTCGCTGGGCGGGAACCACCGCCGATAAATCCATTACGGTCATTATGTCACTACTAATTGAGATTTGTTCATTGACCTCAAATTTTTCCAATAAATTAATTAAACGCTATTATCTCTTGAGCGTCATTTTGAAATTTTTAACTGCAGTTTAATTTTTATTGTCGTGTAATGCCATCAAACATCATTGATATCACTGTGTCGGTCCATTGATGACTTCATTCGCAGCATTTTCATTAGAGAAAACCGGATGGTTTGGGATCGTGTTGGGTTTACTTAAAACCGATGGAGAATGTTTCAAACTCAAAAATTGCCTCGTTAGAAGCTAAACAGTGGGATAATAAAATCTTCAGGTACCTACATAACGTGTCAGAATAACGAGCTATTTCTCTAGACAAACCTATCACGACAATCAGCGAATTTCATAGGAGTACTCGAGTGGGTAATTGTCGATTATAATTACGACTGTACGAAGCAAACATTTTTTCCTAATTAATAGACAA